AGTGCGGGCACTGGTACCTCATCTCTCTCCAGTGGGTATACATTTAACTCAGGGAGAGGCACCCCCGAGAGACCCTTATCCGAATCAAGAACAACCTCAGTCTCAAGTCTAAGAAGTGACTTATCAGAACTTACTGCAAGTCCAGCTGCCTCACCTCAAATAAGGCTTCGTAATCCATTTCTGGAAAAAATACTAGTAGACTCAGCTACACTGCAAGGCATGAATCTCATGACCACTGTCCAAGATGGTCCATGGAAGAAACAGCCTTGGGACAGACAGATAGAACCAAAGAAAAATTTTAACACTTCTAAATCAAAGTCTAAGATGCGAGATTTAATTTTACCTGAAGAGGAACAAGATGAATATCCATTTGCAAAATATACTTTTAACAAGAAACCAGGGAAGGTTACCAGTAGTAGTTCAGAGATTTCTAGTGGATCTAAGGATTCAAGTCTAAGTCCATGGGACTCACAAAATTCAGGAAGACACAATCTTTACAATAGACATGGATCATCAGCAAGCTCACAACTGAGTGAGGATTATTCCAGTCCTGAGACAGGTACCAGTAGTGGTTCCTTTAGCACCAGTTTTTCTTCCAAACAGTCTAACTTTGGCACTTATCCTTCATCACCCGATGTGTGTTATTCAACCCCAGTCTATCCACAGTCATTCCAATCTTATACTGTACCCCCATCCTCTGGAGTGATGTTTTCACAGCAATCTTTAAATGAACCAGACCAAATTCTGTATAATCTTGGATTTGCAGAGAAACCAGAAAATTTTCTTCCAGAGAGATTTGCACAAGACTGGTATAAAAAAATTCAACAATCTAAAATCAATCAAGTCAAACAACAACTTGAAAGACTACAGATGGAGTGTCAAGCAACAGAGTATTCAGGTATGGAAAACATGAACATGCCATCATCTGGACAAACAACACCACAATGGAAAAGTCAGACTGATCTGTGGCAAAACTGTCGAATAAAGAACCTTGGTGTACAAGTACAAAGACAGAGCAGTAAAAGGTCAATGTTTCATCAAGATGATAAAAAGAATTTGGAAGGTAAGGTATCTGAAGGACAGTTGAGTGTCAGCAAATTATATGAACTTCTGAAAAGGGAAAACCAACAATTTCTGAAAGAGTACGACTCAACCACTACAAAAGATTTAAGAAGAAAACAGTTTGCAAGTCACCGTCAGAAGTCTTTACCAACTTATTTAGAAACTTTGACTGAAGAAGATGAAAATCGTCCCAAGTATGGCATTAGAAAAGCAGGCAGGATGGAAAGAGTTGTAGAAGCACATGCTGAAAGTAGTTCATCAGAGGAGAAATCTCTGAGGAGCCTTTCACAAGATGTTAATTCTGATCTGTCAATGAGTGATTCAGGAAGCAGCAACCAGGAGCTTCAAGACAGCAACATTCAAAGCCAGATGCAGGTAAAACGTATAGTGCCTAGTATCATGATCTGTCAGAGTCCAGTCAAAGACAATATGGAGTCAAAAGACAGTATAGAAGTGGCTAATATTCTGTCCTCCAGCAGTGAGGATGATAGTTCACAGAATAATTATAAGGCTGAACTCCACTTAGAACCAGCCATGCTTTCTATGGTTCTGCAGGATGCAGAGAGCATCAGATCTAACCAGCTGTTGACTGTGATGAAACCCAATGGAAATGGAGAATATTCAGAAGACAGACTCCACCCTGCTTCTCCCTCTTCAGCCTCATCTATATCTCCATGTCCACTCTCCCCTGTGACTGTCATTGAGGTCAACTTGGACAACCAGAATGACAGCATTGATACTGAGGAGGGAGGGAACTCCAATCAGAGTGCTAGCAACTCCATGGAGAAAGATATTGATAATCAACCCATTGTGTCACCCTCTGGTGGAAAAAAAATCGAAGAAAAAAGTTCAGATGCAACACCATCCTCATTGAGAAATCTGTCAAAATCTCAGACTTCACTTGAAAGTGATCTGAATTCTGTGAATGCTGTATTGTCATCTTTGCATAATACATCTGTTCAACCAAACTCTCAAGGATTATGTGAAGCCTTCATACAGACAGAGGATATTACGTTATCACCTCTGTTAAGTTTCAGTGACTTTGATGGTTTTTTAAAGAAAATTCTGAATGGTGAGAGTGAATACTTTTATGTTGCAGAAGACAAGGAAATTCAATGTGATATGAACAGAGAGAAAAGCTTCTTCAATTTCCTTACCCAGAATTCTGTGGACACATCAGAGCTGGCCTCTGTCCCACAGAGTCGTAGAACCTCTGTAACATTTGCTTCTCCTGTTGCAAGTATTGTGGAGAAGTCCAATAGTTGTAGCAGTCAGGATAGTAGTAGCTGTGTAAGCACTGAGGTACAGACAGACGAGGACCATAGCTGTACATGTGGTGTCAGGAACAGGAAGTCGGCAGAACAGAGCAGTGGCAAGTCCTTCCTGGGGCTCACTGAGGGGTCCTACAATGTCAAAAATGAAGCCAATTTTTCCAGAATTTTTTCATCAAGTTTTTGTGACAGTGTTTCTGAAGAGCAGATGAATGGAAGAGTACAGAATAAGTGTCTGTCTCCTGAAAGTTCAAAGTACACTCCCCTGGAAGTCACGCTTGATAGGTTAGAAAGCAAGGCTCAACGCTGGAGGGCTGTGATATCTCAAAAACAGTAAAATATAGAATTAAAAAAGAACATTATTGAGAAAATTGACTCATATTTGATTAATGAAAAGGTGATAACTGTGATTTGTTGGCAAAATGCATCGAATAATTTTTTTTTTTTTTACTTTTAAATTCTATGAAAATTACACAAGCAGATTAGTGTAAAATTACATATTTTACAGTATGTATGGTAAAAACAATTTCATGCATAGATGTACAGTAAATGTGATTCAGACAAGAAGTAATATAAATTTTTTTAACCTCCTGGTGAAACCAATAGAGAATCAATACCTGCCATAGGTTCGTGGATGCCCTTAATAATTAGGATCTCAAAGTGGACATCAGAAAATCTGTAGCTTTGCAATAAAGCACTAAGGGTGCCACAGGGATTTAGAGAAATGTTCATTGACTCATTCACCTCACTTAATTACCTGATATTTTATCAAATGTGCAGGTCACAACTCTGTTTTCTGTTAAGCATTTTATTAATGTTAAATGCGATTATTACTATATTATGGTTATGTCACTGACAAAATGTATGAGCTGCTTTCCCACATTGATTGTGTAGGCTAGTTACTTTCATGATAATAAAACAATGATATTCATCCAGTACCAACTTGTGTTACAAATTGCATTATGAAGTTGATAAGTTAGATTGGAAAAAAGAAAAGAAAAATTATAAGATTTAATGTTGCTGTGGTTGTCAGACAGATTTGATCCCTGGTGGTCAAATATTAGCTCAGTAGGTAGAGCACCTGACTAGTGATTCAGGGGGGTCTGTGTTGGAATCTTGATCTGGTCTGTCACATTTTTCTCCTTAGCCAATTACTTTTGGTGCTGCAATATGCCTTGGAAGTGACAGGTGAAAGACCTGCCAAGGAAAAGCCTGCTAGTGGGTTCTTCAGGGGCAAAGACCTTTAAGGAGGAAGGAATGTGGCAGTCAGACAGGGTTGTTCACTGGTGGCCAGATGGCTCAGTTGGTAGAGCACCAGTGACTAGAGATTTAGTGGGCTTGGTTCTTCACATTATTCTCCTCGCCTGTTACATAGCAATTAACATGAGACAGGTCAGAGTTTTGTTACATTTGAATTGTTAATGTTTCTATTCATTCATTATGTAAGACCTATTTTTTGTTCTCATCAGATGTTTTACCCTATGATCATGATCCAGTCAGATAATCTAATAGATATTTTATTTCTTAAATACATGAAGGAACATGTGACACATTTTCACTCGCAAAGAAGAATTACTAAGTACATAAGAAATACATGTACTAGTATTCAATATCATAGCATGGTATAATAATGTCAAGTTCTGACTTACAATGTATCTATAGGAAACCTACATCTATAAAACAGTAATTGACTTTCTAGTTTTTCACCAGTTCTGACTCATAAGAAATGTGATCTCCCGTCATTGATTATCTAGTTAAAGATACTGAACAACATTATCATGTTAAAGAACACTGACGTTCAGATGCTGTACGAGTCTTACGTCATAGATATCATAAAGATCGTATGATTGACATATGTAGAGGAAATGATGTAGAAATAGTGAAAATGAATGCTAATTCCTAAAAAAGACTTTCAATATAATTAATTTTACTATAAACCATGGCAACAAGACATTATCAGGTTACCTGGACATTAGTTTTTTTTTATGACTGACTTGGAGGTCATGTGTGGGGATCTCAAATGTCCTGTCGATGACATGGCACGAGTTTGGTAATGATAAATGACCAAGCCTTGAAACGATTATTAATTTAATTACCATTATACATGAAACGCAACAATATTTGTAGCTTAATTCTAATCTTTAAAACTAGAGATTGAAGATCTTAAGGTTCTTTGAGTTTCCCATGGCTGAATAGTTACTTATATGTGTAACAATTACGGTCCTGAAGAAAAAACAAAGACGTATAGAAATTTGATTTGTGTAAGGAATGCTGGTATAGTCTAGCTGCAACATAAGTGTTATGTGTCCTGTTGACAGACCATATCATTGTCTTTTGGTCTGCTTCAGTGAACAATAAAAGATTGATTACAAGATACAGTTTTTAAATTGTCCATAAAAATTACTATGTACTGGGTTATTGATGTGAAATAAAGGGATACTGTGAGAAAAAGGGATAGGGTGTTCTGCCTTCTCTGTAAATCATTGAAATGGGTGATTCTGTGGTTGAAATTAAAATTGTAAGGTTAAAGGCATGTTGTGTCTGGTCTAAACTCTTGCTGGCCAGCTAATGCCTCTCTCAACACAGGGACACCTTGTTTAAGATCTGTATCCAGAAGTGGTTGTGTGTGTTGGCTGTAGGTAGAGTCTTTGCTGAGAGACTTCTTGTCCAGGAAGCTTATCTAAGGAGAGATGGATTTGGGTGTCTTTACAGTAATCTACTCGTAAATATACCCGTTTGTACATTCTACCTGTTGGATCGAACATATTAAATTTTTCTGTGTATGTTCTTTGATAAAAGGGATTTTCATTGGAACATTCATATAAGTCCTTTTCTGAAGGATCTTCTGATTAAAAGTGTTTCCTGAAGAAGAACTTTGTTTAACACTGACATATGGCTTGTCACTGCCAAAATAGTTATTGGATTATAGTGAAGTTTGAGTGATGTAGAGTGTACTTAGGTTAATCCTCTTTTTTTGTAAAAATTCAAAAATTCTGGAATTTCAAGAATGGAAATTCAGGCAAATAAATCAGCAGAGGAATTCTTAACTACTCTAAAACAGTCTTTAAAACGGATGCAAAACATTCGACAGGCGGAACAAACCATTCGTTTGAGATTCCGCAGTTCGTCTTTGACAGATCTCACAAAAATTGGCAGGTAAGACAGCTTTATCCCAACCTGTCCAAAAATGTACCTTTTAGTAATGAGCAAACTATTCTCTAAAATGTCACCTGTTAATTGACAGGTCTTCCCATGGGTATTTGATTCCTAGCTTGTTTATTAATAAAGACCAGTGTAGGAGTTTGGGAGAGACAATAGGATAAACAGATTGATTGAATTGTCATGCTTTCTGTATAGAGCTGCTGGAATATACCATACAGTATTTATTGTATAAGACTGTGTGTGGTGTATGAATCGGGGAGATGATGATGTGAATCACAGCTGAAATGTTAATGAACGGGAATGAGTCGACAATTTCTTGCTATATAATAGAGCATGAAAAACAGGCTAAAAAGATACCTGGATTTTTGCACTGTACACCCTTACACGCAGTATCTTGTAATAAACTTAGGGTTTGCAATTTTTATTATTAAATCCTTTATTGTTTAGGGGCATTTTAGTGTAGCTATGAAATTCAACTACTTTCCAAAATGATAAGTAACAAAAAGCATTTAGAACTTTTGAATGTATATACTGTGTGCAATGTTTCAGACGTCAGAGATCTTATTAAAGCAAGCTAATTTCAGTGCATGCAGTTTCAGAACACCCACTATAAACCAAACTGAGGAAAATTGATTTGAGGTAGCATTTACACAGATACCTTGGAAACTTGGTCCAAATATTACGGAACAACAGCTTAAGATAATGTTTGAATAATGGATACAGGTGCCTAAAATGGTCCTTGTGCATTTAATAGATCTGAACAAATTGAAATTGGAGGCTCAGGTGGTGCCATTATCTTCTCATATTTGATGTGAATTCCTGACCAATTTATACATGCACAAATAAATCAATTGCATGGAAAGTGTACATTCTGACGTGATATGCACATGTATGTTCAATACTCCAATAATTTACCATGCTTTAATAGTTATTTGAAATAAAGAGAGGACCCTAATATCATTTTGCATATAAACTGGACATAAGATGACACTTCATTGCTTCCATTTTCCCCCGCTATGTATTACTATGCTGGAAGCTATACAGATTTCACCGAGACATGATTTTGATTAAATATCGAATCTCTCAGCCAACCCTGTCTTCACTTTGTCACCAATATAATACAACATCCGAGAACTCAATCCTATCAAGCTGAAACTCTAGCATGGTCGCAGTGATTAGATGGATTTAACAGATAGTCATTTAAATATCACAGGTTGTATATACCAGCAAAGTCTCTATCTCATGAATTTATCTGTACAGGTATACTAATTAAAAAGCCATACAAGACAAAGCATACCCGATGACTTGATTCATTGACTTCTAAGTGTATACGCTTTGGGCAGCAAGTGTAGATATGCTTTTTGGAGGTTACAGGTGCATTCAGCAGATTTTGTACATTAATATATATAAGAATTGATTTGTCACAGCATGAATAATTGACAGATATTAACACAGTTTAATTTGTTTGTAGACCCGTCTCCAAGAAGGTTGACAGACCCAATGCCAGGATGGACCGAGAGGAACTGGCGCAGGAATCGGCCAGAATTCAGAAGGAGATGGACGAGAGAAAGACTCGAGATCACCCCTCCCGCAGGGATGAAAAGTCCCCCACTCGTACTGCGATGAGTTTATCAACTTCAGCAATGAACAGAGTAAGTATGAAAATCTGTTTGTTGGTGTGGCATAAATGTATTTTTAGCAACATTTTAAACATATTACGTGAATTGAGTAAAATTCTTACAGATACAATATTTTGAACATCTGCAACTTCCTGAAACATATAGTGTATTACATGTATACATTTGTGTGCTTTATTTTACCATTACTTTACTGAAATGATGCTGACAAATAACCTTACACATTGTAGTTTATTTTTGTATCGTGGTGTAAAAATTTAACAGCAAACTTATGGATAAAGCATTACATTTCAGCTAGATAAATTTCTCAGTTACTCTTCCCTTTTTTAATTCATGCACCTGGGAGTTTGTCCTATGTGTAATTCACACTACAGTACTTGAGTTGATAAGTGCAGAAACCAGGGTTATGCTTCAATCTCAGTATTTTCACTATGATCACAATTCACATTATTAAGACTTTGTTCAAAATTCCCTTTAATTTGGTTCCTTTACAGTTTCCTTCCTATGAAGAACTAAGATCACAGCTACCTCCAGGGTGCCCCGACCCACTTACTGGACGATTCAGCCCTGCCCCTCAGGAAAGAATGAGTACCTCTTCCAGTCCTCCCCCTCCCAAACAGAAGTCTGGTTCTATCCATCCACCAGAGTTATATGGACAGCCTAGTTCTCCCAGGGACCTACATAGGAGGTCAGTTTCTCCTACAGAGAGGACCAGGAAATACCCAGATGTACAGAATCCCAGCACAAGGAGCTTCTCTCCTGACAGATTACCTGATGTTCAGTAAGATTCCCCTCATATCTTTTATTAATTATGAGTTTATTATACAGTTGAACTTTGGTATCTCGAACATGGATATCTCGAATACCATGGATATGTCGAAGTGATTGGGAAGTCCTAACCACATATTTCTTACGTATTTTACCCTCAATATCTCGAACCCCTGTATATCTTGAAGTTTTTTCTTGGTCCCATCGAGTTCAAGATAACGAGGTTTGACTCTATCTAATATATGGGGAAAAAAAGGAAAAAGATTTATAGTATTTGTAATGACAAAAGTAAGATTTTTTTTCCAATGTTGCATTATTTATTAGGACCACTCCATTATTGAATACATCATGTCATGCTGTTATGACTTGAACACATTTCATCAACAGATTGGATTCACCAACTATGACAAGTTCTCCAAGAGAAAAGAAATCTCATACACAAGACAGAACGGAACCAGTTAGTGTGGAAAATCCTCGTGAACAAGAGAGAAGTCGGCAAGTGATGCGACCTAAATCTCAAAAACCAATAGACAGATATGATGATCAGGACAGTGATTTCAGTGATGTTAATGACAATTCTCTGTATGACAGAAGTGCCCCTAGTCAGACTTTTAACCCCATAACCAGTTCTCCTATAGATAGAGGGAGGACTAGGAGCCGCAGGTCTAATGATTATGAGGGTTCTGGCCAGCCCACTAGTAGGAGTCTCTCAGAGAGACCTTTCTACAGTCGGTCTTCCTACGATCACGAGAGAAGCCAAACATCACCAGAGAGACCTCGTGTTTCACAGGAAGTTCCAGATGTTTCGCTGGGAAGAATAAGTCCCATTCTCAATGGAAGGGGTTCACCAAGGGTTACAGAAGAAAAATTGGTAAGAGAAAAATGAAAATAGGAAGTTTTAATCCAAAGAAATGTAAAGAAAGTTAATTGTCAATTTTTTTTTCAAATTTGAATGTCATAATATACATGAACTGTCTTTTTGCAGTCTGTTTCATTCCAAGATTTCCCGCCACCTGCACAGGAAGATGGTAGAAGTGTAAGTAGTGATGCTTTCTGACTTACATGTTCATGTATGCTGTTTTTATATGATCCAATTTGCTAATATCTACATCTCTTTTTTAGTCCCCCACGTATTTAGATCTGGCTTACAATAAGGAGAGGCCATCATTCAGATCAGAGTGGATTGCCAGAGGAGTACCTTCTAGAGTAAGAGATAAAGTATTAACTAATTGTACCAATGTATAATTTTATTCATTCACCTGCAGTGTATGCCAAGCACTTAGAGAGTCCAGTGTTTATCCTTTTGGATAGGAACAATCTTTTACACAAAAGGTAGAAACATCTTGTAAGGTCCTATCATAAACATGTATTTGAGTTGTTGTATTCAGCCCATTGAAATGAATACTTAAAGGAGTACATGGTCACATCCAGGGTCAAGGTCACAGTTCTTTGAAAATTTGCCAGTTGAAACTTCATGAATATGCATATCAATACAAGATGCAGTATTTGATAAAATTCAGGGTCATATTATTGGATATTATTGGATGTTCCATGTAGCTGCATGAAAATACTTTTGTTCTGTGAAATATTCCCTGTGTTCAATTTTTTTAAAATTATGGTTATGTACACAATGTATTTTTATTTGCGTTTACAGTCAGAAAGTGAGAGTGAACCAAAGTCTTTGAAGAGAGCCCTCCTGGATGTAAGAACTGCAGAGAAACAACTTAAAGAAATTAAAGCCCTGACTGAGGATGCCAGGCAAGTGACATAAATTGATGGAACTTTCTTCCCTTTAACTGTTACGATTAATTGTTTTCTTCTGTATTTGGTTGAAATGACAAATCTTTTAATTTTGATACACTTGTTAATATATCTAGGACTCATTTTTTCTGTTTAATGCATATTACAGGACACAGCTGATGCTGACAGAATTTAAGAGAGACAACAAGCAGAGAGATTATGAAAGAATGAGTGAAGACTTAAACAGGAGGAAGCGGGAACTGAAAGGTTACGAGGACCAGCTAAGGTCAAGGACAGGTGATATTCTACAGATGGATCAGACTCATCTTGGTGATAAGGTGAGTAATAGAAATCAGAATTTAAGGGAGACTACTTAGAGCTACATTATTTTATACATAGTGTATTCAATTTTGTTGTTGTTATTCATTACAGTTTTAATTTATTTTTGCTGTATTGTGATAGGACAAAAACAAGTGAATGCATATTTAAAAGAAAACGTTAATAATCCTGAATTATGAATTAATAAAAAAAACCCAACAAATTGTAGAGAAGAGATGTAGACACTGGATGACATTAATTTCTGGTTTTTCTTTTCAGACCCTTGCCCTTATCCAGGAGAATGAGAGTCTGAAACATCGACTGAGACAGGCTGATGGCCTCGAGTTAGAGAGAGATGAACTTGTCAGACAGCTAGAGATGGCAAAGGAAGACCTCTTCAATGAACAGAAACAGGCCAGGCATAAGACTGAAGAACTCAAAGATGTAAGAGATTGTGTATCTGTCTTATATTTTTTAATTATGATATTAATTAGAATATTTATAGAATATATCATACATGTGCATATGCATACATGTATATATAATTTTATTTTATAATTTTATTTATATACCTTTACATTTGCCGGTTATGATATTTGTTATGTGAATATGTAAAAATGTCAAATTTTGTCTTATGAAAGATTGAGGATAAATGGGTTGTGGTAAATTAAATGTATCTTCAAATTCAATTTTCCATTTTACAGGAGATAGAAAATTTAGCAAGTCAGCTGGAAGAAAGTAGAGGACCCTTCCCTGTAGTGGACACTCAGAAAGTACGGGAACTAGAGGAAGCTCTGAGAAGGGTGGAGAAGGAGAAGACAAATCTTATCAGGGTAGGCAGTGTGCAGAGTTGTCTTTCCTGACATATTATTGCTTACAAGATTCTAATTTTTCTTTTTACTCTTCATATAAATCAGGACTGGTTTACTGTTTATGTCCAACAGTTTAGTGACAGTATCATTATAGCCAATAATATATGTACATGTAATTAAGCTAACAAAGTGTTACTTTTGAAACATGAACAATTAAAACCAATGAAAGAATTTATCGTAACCCCTAAAAATTTTTAATAGGATAAAGCTAGTCTGTATGAAGAGCTTCAGGAACTGTCTAAATCTGGTAAATCTGAGTACAGAGCGAGGTCAGGGAAGGCCGAGGAACTGAGAGCTCAGCTAGACAAGGTCTGTGTAGAGCTGGCAGACATCAAGGAGAAAAACTCAAAGATGGAGGAAACCAATGGTCGACTCAGGTATTTGTCAACCTGCTAGATTTCGCAAGATATTTGGAATATGTTTAATTTTATTTAAAAGAAGACTTGATGTTTTGGAAAATAAATTGCTCTTAGTAACTAAGCTAACAAATTTTAGATATTCATTAAACTTACAGAGAGCAGATTGGAGAATTGAAGAGACAGTTAGAAAGAGAGAAAATGCTGAAAGATGGGCTGTTGGATGATCATAAAAGGACTCTTCAAACCCTCAGGAAAGAAATGGTAAGATTATGAAAAGCTAAGAACAGATACTGTATATACTCGCCTATAAGTCGTTTTTTTGGGAGTTAAACTTTGGTCCAAAACTCTTTATCTGACTTATACGTGAGTTATAAAAAGACTGGTATTTTAGTGGTTCAGTCCCTCTAATTTAAGCTTAAAAATACAACCGACTCATAGGCGGAACGACTTATAGGCGAGTATGTACGGTAACTGCAAAATGTCCCCATATACATGTACATGTATCCAGTTAATTTTCTTGTGTAGGACACAGCTATGGGACAGATGAGAGAGAATTTGTTCCTGGAGAAACAGAAAGCTATAGAGAACATCAGGGAAGATGTTGACAAGGGAAGGTCAAAGACAGAGGAACGACTTCAGCGGGCCACAGCAGAACACCAAAAAATTCTCAAGGTAAACCAACTAATAGAGAGAATTCAGATTATACTATGATCTAAATACTTAATAAAATGAGAATTACTTTATGTGGTGGATAATGCATCATGGCTTGCTTTTCTTTATTTGACAGTATATAAAGGTAAAAATATATTTGTTAAGGAATTTATAATCTGCATTTAACTACAGTAAAACTTGTTGAATCCGGATGTTGTGCATTCCGGCATGTTGTTCAGTCCGGCGTAATATTTTAGTCCCGTGAATTTTCTTTATAATTTATGTTTGATAAATGTTGTTCAATCCGGATCTTGCCTATTCTGTAAACCGGCCGCTATTTAAAGAACTAACTGCTCATAATTAGTACAAATTATCTCCTCTAATCCGGCCATTTATTTTTACCTGTGCCGGCTGGTCATTAGAGAAGTCTCGCGTGGGGTAATTATTGTTCCGTTAATGATCTATCCTGTATTGACAGTTTAGATTTTAACAAACGTGATTTAAAAAAAATCATTAATGGCTCAAGTAAGGCGAGGAAACTCGCAACAGAATGAGTGATAATGATGGTTACGTGTAGCATATCTGTAGAAAAACTTGGAGACTTATTCATGACCTCCTTTCTACTTTCGTTTTGCGTGCACGACGTGCAGTTCGAATTACTTCCCTTTGCGTCGCTAGTTTACAACGACCAGAACGACATAAGATTTTGGTTCAATATACATTACATGTATAATATTTGAAATTAACAAATACAGTGTCTAAATATTCGAAGATATTAATTTTAAAAGAAAGAAATTAATTAGGAATCTGTTCCTAACTAAATAATATTTACAGCTACGATGAGGCTTTGGGGTGTGTTTTAAACATTTAACGATTTTCAAATTTGATAAATGACCAAGAGATATTATATTTCGATACTGAATAAAAAACTTTAACTGAAATGAAAATTCTGAAGAGTTCAAAACAAACGGAAATAGACGATTTTTTCTAGTGAAACGTAAAAAATGACACATTTGATCAAGTATTTATTTACCACTCTTTGTTTATATCTACGTAATTTTTAACTTGCTATAATGGTTCAATTTTCTCCAATCCGGATGTTGTCTAATCCGGCCAAAAATTTTGGAACCACTGGTCACCGGATTAGACAAGTTTTACTGTATAAGCATTATTACTTGTATTTTACTAAACCTTGTGTATATATTTTTTTTTATTTTTGCACTTGATTTAAAAAGGGTTTAATGTCTACTTTATAACACAAAATTCCATAAATATATTTAATATACATTTAGTAAAATTTAGGATGCTCCTCTAAATGCCAATTAATTGCAAATAGGGCCATCTTTAAATAATTGTTTGTTTGCCCTCTCCCGACCGACTGGCTAAAATGGCCCAACTCAAAACTTTTTTCAACTTCTGTGAAGCGATAATTTTTTTCCCCTTTATATATCTGAATTTTCTCATCCCATCAATATGTTATGTTGAAATTTTCAAGAAAAAAAAAATTTCCCATCTACCTACTGACCCATTTTTTTTTACCCTAAGTCGGGAGAGGGCAAACAAATATTATTTTAAAGATGGCTATGGGTCATATTGTGACTATCTGAAGTGGAATCTTTTTGTTAGCATAGGAAATTTGTTTGGTAAGGCCTTCTGTAAGAAATTGTTTACAGTTGCTTCACATGTATGGTCAAGATACTTGTATTACATGTATTTTATAGTACATGTACCTGTGCATTATAATACAAGATTTCTCACTTTTAATGCCCCTTTCACTCATAATCACTCACATATTATTAATTCATATATAATCATTTATCTTTAACCAATTATAAAATAAATGACTGCATATTTTGAAATGGATATTTTAAAGTATCATTCCACAAAAAATCATTTTTTTTAATTATCACTTTAAAGGTTTTTTTTTTTTTAATGTATATTGAATATTTATTCAGCAAAAAGAAGAGGAGATAACTCAGTTAATAGAAGTGGTGGGGAAACTTGAAAAGGACAGGTCACTCTTGGAAAGAAGAATTAAGGATGACACAGAACAAAAGGTTTATTTTTTGCCTACTTTTTGGCTCTCTCACATTTTTTTCAGTTTTAAGTATTATGGCTCTCACATCAAAACACAAATACATGTATGCTAAATGGACTTTTTTTTTAAGAGAAGGCCAAACGGGACAGGAAATATAACTTTAAAGCAAATTATTTTTTATGTGCTTATAGGCACTAATTCTAGAGTTTAGGGGTAGTATAACGTCCATGTAGTTAAAAAATAGTCGATTTGTGTGATGTTTGATAAACATTTTTACAGGCATGCAACACAATATATTCTAGCACTTTTCAATCCATGGAATAGACTTCTTGTTGTCTGCACTCATGGCAAATATTAAAAAAAAAGATTTAGGGTTTATTTGGTCAAAGGTCAAGGTATATTATATACATATACATATTGTATATATAGGTAGATCAAGATTATTGATAGGTCAAATGAGATTTTTTTTTAACAATGTAATTATGTACTTGCATACTCTTGAACCTAAGAACTTAATATTCATATCATGGGTGGAGGGTGAATAGAACAAGAAATTTTAATAGAGATTTTTGAATCATTGAGTTCAAGGTCAAGATGTAACTTTTTTTGTTTTCACAATATACTACAGGAACCTGGATAAGTTTTCTTAAAAATCTTTTTGGATGTATGTAATATGTTTTTCTTTATTTTTTCTTTTTATAAGGTACAGGAAGCTTTGAAGCAGGAAAGAGAGCAACTGGTGAAAGATAAAGAGTATCTGCTGATGAGGGAGAGGGAACAGAAAGAGAGTAGACAGACTCTGAAGAACCTGGCGAACGAACTCGAACAGGAGAGGCAGCACAAAGGGACCTTGATAGAAAGGATTGCCCAGCTAAACAAGGTACAGTGTATTCTCATTCCACAATTATCTCAAAATCAGAGGATTAGCCAGCTGAATCAGGTAACCATACCCTCAATTCTCTCCTCAGCAAAACATATCTGCCAGCTACTTGTATCCTTTAAACCTCAAAAATCAGAGGATTAGCCAGCTAAATAAAATAATTGCAGACACCCCCCCCCCCCCACCACCACCACCACCACCACCACTAGCCCACTCCTCAACAAAAGAGGACCATGCAGCCAGCTTGATATCCCTTTCATAGGCCAGTTATATGATGTGATTGTGATTGTGTTTCCCAACCTTCTCCTCAACATTAGATGGTCAGCCAGCTTAAAAAGGTTATTGTATCAATCAACTCTCTCCTTGATTTCATAGGATGAACCAGCTAAATTAAAGGTTACCGTAAGTGTAGAAACTCCAGTTACGCCACCCTCATTTTGAATAGTAGACATTCGCTATAGCCTATTGTACATACATAATCAGTTCCGTTCTCAATCATTCAGGAACCATGCACTTTCTCCATTGTCAGTAGAGACCAATTATTGGAATCAAGACTGTGTAGTGAAAGATAAAACATAAGAAATAGGTATTAACAGTGACATATAATTGTTATACTGTACATCACTTTTTATGTGCAAAAACTTTATTTTTATGTAATTACCCGAGACCATCTGCTCATAAAAATTTCACATATAAATCTTCTATTAAAGATTACATAGTGGAATAACCAAAATTTGTCAGTGGTATAAACTTGGTTATCATTGAGCTGTTTAGTGTGCTTTCTCTTCTTTGGGTATCTACTCAAAAATATATATTTGTGAAGGAGAGAAAATGCTGATGTGGCAGTAAGTCTGCCATTTAGCTAAACTATTGATTGATTTGTTGGCAGCAATAAACTTAAAGATAACAAAACAATGATTATTTATTTATGCATCTGTCTTTTATCTTTGTACCTGTATTGGCAGACATGCTGAATTGTCAGTAGGCAAGTGTTTGTCAGGCTTGTGCTATTCACTGGTTCCATACAAACCTTTAAAATTAATGATAATTGCTCTTTTCTCATTATTCTTTCATTATAACTGTGCAGGACATAGGATATATTGTCTTTATAAATGTAAAATTACTGAGTCGATAGTAAAACACATTAGGTACACCTGATTTATTGGGTTATTACTGATGTTCAGTAACACTGTTCTGATTTTACAGTAATGGTCTAAGCCACTTTTCTTCCAGTCAGCTAAAGCTCTGTTTGATTTTATTGCATTTGGTAAAATGAAGAAGAATTGTGACAGTTTTTGATGCCCTGATTTATTTTTGCATTTATAGCTGTGTCTGGGAATTTTAAAGTAACAGTGCTACTGTTCTAGTTGCAATGAATAAGTTCACTAAGACTTATATATAGCTATATTTCCACCTCATGGGCAATTTCTGTTCTACTCATGAGAAATAAGACAAAATGAAATGATAAAAAATTAAGACATTGTGAATCATATCTATTGATTCAAACAGTTTTAAAACTTGTAAATTATTAAATATCCTAACTAAAGAAATATGTATGTGTCACGTATGGTTTAAAAATTATAGTCCGTAGGATAGGATTGCAAAATGATCCATTAAGTCCTCAAGAGCTTTTTACAAATCAAATATTTATAAATGAAAACGATTGCAGTATGATGACCGTGTGTGGGTTTATACAGTTAAATATTTGATATACACATGTACCTGTATTATATAGATCTTTTTTCCATTCATGGGGGTTTCATTTAATCTCAACAGAATATTATTTGTATTGTTCTGTGAACAAATTAAACACCTCTATCAGAATTCATTGAAATTGAATTCCTACCTGATAGAATTAAAGAGATTAAGGCACATACTATTCTATGACTTTATCTTATCAGTTAAACAAATCTCTTCAGTTTATCACTTTCTAAATTGAAAAGTTTGTATACTTTGTCTGTTCATGGCTTGCCACTTGAAGTCACCAGAGTTCTTGATTAAACATGTTTAGTTTGGCTTATTGTTTAACAGGTGGATCAGAAATTTTCATTTTTCATTATCACTGTATTGTTTGAGCAGATTAAGATGGGAAAAGAAATATGATCTTTGTATTTACCAAACAATGTATGTGTTAAACGGCTCAGTTGCTGTATTGTGAAAGTTCAAACATTATATATTTAACGACTTTTAATTCCACTAAGTTAAACAGCCATAGGGCTCCTTCATAATTCAGCCATAAGAGTGTAGATATTATTTTAGATTTTTTTTCCATTTCAACCTCTTGAAAAGGTCTTCAGTTTTGTGCACGGTTTATATTACGGTTTGATTGGATTATTGTGTCACCTATACTCTGGTGGTTTATTGCTATTGGCTTGGTATTGATTTTATGAGATGGAAAAGTCTTTCAGGTGTTCCTGCATTTGATTATTAAATTCTGAAAGGGACTGTGATCATTCAAAAGAAACCTCCATTTCTTAATTACAATTCTACTTCGCACCTTTCCGTAGGTGTATAAAAATTAATTTTCTGGATGGTAAATTTTTTCTTTCCTGAGATTCTTTGGATTTGGTGATACTGCAGACCCTATAAGATCTAGGGCTCTGACTGTCTTGGCTACTATTGAATAATGCATCAGTGTGTAAACTTACAGCCATTATAAATGACCCATACGTTTTCCAATAAAGTCTAGATGCCGTAAATCTAAATGTGTAGTAAATTTTATGCCCAATTTCCTGCAACATACTTCAGACGATATTTTGGAGTAGTAGTTTTTGTATCATAAAAATTTTGAGAAGAACAAAGTCTGTCTGACAAGGGCAGTGTTGGAGTACTCCAAGTTCTTTTTCCAATGTGTTGAAACAATTTCGAGTGGTCTAACAGTTACTGGAATGGATTTGGATTATGACCAACTTAGGGGAATCCGAACAAGATTCACTAACTGTTTACATGTAAGTACATTGTATTTGATAAATTATTTAATTTTGATTAATGAGTTTAAAAATAAATGAATAAAAGCTTTCTTGGTAATTTATATTTAAAATACCCCTCCTCCACACCCTTTTTTCCCTATTAAGGAGAACAATTTGATTTTACTATCTAAATATTATACATTTAAATTACATTGAAGATTATTTTACTAGCAGAATGATGTTTTTCCCCCAGCAGCAGTTCAATACCATTGAGATTATTTAGAATACATAGTTTGGCAATACAAGTTAATTTATTAAATCATTTTGACACTCTCTGGTTTAAAAGACGTTTGACAATCAATAATGTACCCGGTAATAATTAACAGGGTGTAAAATCATTACAGTGAAACTTAATTAAGGTGGGAGATATAGTTCAGTCTTAGTTTGATCTCAGTTAAGGTGTGTTTGAAAAATTGATCTTCGGTCAATTATATTTGGTCTGTCATTTTTTTCTTTAATTAAAGGTGTTTGTTGATTATCTACATGTAGATGGTTCAAGTCTGCTTGAGTTGTTTGCTATATAGTAGTGGTTTATATATTTGTTACTTATAATAAAAGTGTGATGGGAGGTAAATGTCTAATGTTCATTGCAAATATGGTTTTCCATACTATTGGTGGCTTTATTTTGTGGATCTGTAAACATGGCATTGGAATATTCCACAAAAAAAATTAAGAAAAAAATCACTGTTTTAGTACACAGTCAAATTATGATAATATTATTATGAGCTAATATTGTAGAGATATCTACATTTTGACATTTAAATTGTATTTGAAGGCAGAAGATGACTGTAGCCAAGCTATACATGTATACTGATCTAATGTACTCAATAATCTTATAGTTCCATGCTGTTATGGGTTGCATTGAGAGTAACTATACAGCCAGCAGTAGGCTATGTATGTGTCAACTCAAAGAATGCTAATATGTAGACTTTTTCTTTGATTGAATGTTTAATATATTGAATTTTTCTCAAGTGTCTTGACACGTTCATGTGGTGTATTACACTGAGAATTAATGTTACTTTTATTCTAAAGTCTGTATGTGTTTGTACAAGTGTGTAATGTGAATCAAATCTTCAACTCAGCAGAGAATAAATTTGTTTGCCTGATTTAGACAAACTGGTCTGATGATTTTGGAAATCAAAATTTAAATACACCTTTTTTTTAATGGGTTCACAAAGTAGAATAATTTGCGTCTGTGATTCTTGAGTCAAAGGTTTCTATCATATTTCATAAAAATCTTCTTTTCTCCTTGTCATGAAAAATATACATGTATTAATACTTCAAATGCTGTTAAAAATATAGAGCAAATGGCATGATCAATTTCAAAACTTTAAGAAATTTATTTGTACAAGTGCATGCAGTCTTCAAATCAATGCTTGTATATTTATTTCTTATATAATGGCTTTTAGCATCAGATTTAAAAGATTTGTTTGGCCATTTATTCACATTTAGTTATTCAATCAGGAAAATGGATTTTAAATGTTTAGTACATTAGTTTTAAGTTTTTATTGAGGAGTGTATAAAATTCCTGTGTAAACTTGTTTGTACTGAATTTATAGAATTTAAAGGTAAGACCGTTAGTATTCAGAAACATTCTCTATATTATCTGTGCATATACAGCTAGCAAATGACCCTTGTTAAGAAATTTCCGATAGTAAAGAACTTTGAATAAACTGTGCCAAGACTATACAGACATGAATGACAATTTCAGCACACCAAAACTTTACATTTGAGTAGTCTAAAAATGCCTTTTATAACTTTATATTGCAGTGTATTATACAAATTCAGGACTAAAATGAAAAAAGATAAGGGGATTAAACTTGTGAAAATGTTAACATGCTTTGACCATGCAAAGATGTTGAGCATGTCTGTTAATGTATTAATCATCTTAAATGGTACCTCATTCAAGCTTTAGGTCTACTTACAGAATGCTTGGTAAATATTGGATTTGTGAACAAAATAAACATATTAACTAACTTTTAATTTAATTTTCATGAATAAGTCAACATTTAACAAACATGAGTCCTGCCTTTTACGCCAGCACCAAAGTGGAATTCTCTCCGATTTCAATCAATGTTTCATATGCCTTTTTGAGCTCTAGAATTTTAGCACACATGTACTATAAATGTACTTTTTCCATGGGGTCAAATTAAATTCTGCGGAATCACAATTTCTGTTCTGTCTGCAGGTATAAAATTATGTGGATTCCTTAGATTGCCACTATGAATATACATTGAGTGTATTTTAAGTATGCTTGGAGAATTTTCTGTGACATATGCATACATTAAATTAATACCACACAGAAAAAAATACTTCAACAGTATTTGAAATACTCTCACCATAATCTGTCTGTGCATAAAAATATAAAGAAATGCATGATGGTCAGAACAAAATGGAAACATCAAATTAAGTAACCATTAAAATCTTCTTTTGGTACATGCACCTATCATCACAGTGTTCATGAAAACGCAAACTCGGGAAAAATGAGGGAAATCTTATACATACAGAAAGTCAAGTTTATATCATTTTATTGTTGAAGAAATGCTTTCACCAAGATTTGTCTACATGTATGTGTACAAGAAAATGAAATTGATACTTATTGTATACTGTTCAGATGAGTAAAACACAAGAAAAAAGATGGAAAGATAAAATGTAAATAGTCATTGTGGGATAAAAAAAAATATTTTTTATACCCTCTGAAACAAAGTCTGGGGAGGCTTATAGGAATCACCTTGTCCGTCTGTCTGTGCAACTTTGTCTGGGCTATAACTTTTCAATGGAGAGTCACTGATTAGGTTGCCCAGGACCTGAGGGTGTGTCTTGACCTTGACTCAAGGTCAGTCCAGTAAATACAAGGTTACTGGAAGAAAAACATATAAAATTTTTATCCAGGTTATAATTTTGTGATGGAGAATGACTGGAAGCTCATACTTGGTACAGAAACTGCTTATTTAAAATACCCAAGGTTCTGTCATGACTTTGACGCCTTTGTAATGGAGAATGATTGACAGAACATACTTTATACAGAGATTGCTTATGGATGTGTCTTAACCTTGACCCAGGGTCATTCTAGCAAGTTCAAGGTCACTATCTTAAAAAAGAATAAAACTCTTGGCTATAAATTTGTAATGGAGAATCACATTTACAAAATTTGAATGGCCACTTAAAAAAAATTGCAGTGGGGGTTATTATTTTGTGAGTATCTCTAGTTCTCTTTGCTAAAGTAGAAAAAGAAGAGAAAGATATTTTGGCTGTTTTGTGTAGTTTTCTGGAATAAGCAATATTAAATTTCCTCTTAAACAATATGAATTATGCTTGAAGAGTAGCAGTTAATATGTTATATGATACTAGAAATTACCTCCAATCGTTCTCAAATTCTAATTTACAGGATCTTGAGGAGCAGCGTCAGATGAGCAAACAGGCAGCACATGATCGTATGATGGCAGTGGCTCGAGCCAAAGATCAGCTCAAACAAGAGATGTTACAGGAGATGGATCGAGTCCGGGAAAAACTCAAACAGGTAGCTTTGGTGTCAGTCTCAAAAAAAGTGTTTCACATAGAATTTAAACAAATTTACAGGTAGGTTTTGTCTCGCTATGGTTAAACCAATTTTCATTCACAAGCAAGAATTATCTGAGAGATGACAGACTCATTTTGAATCACAGACTAGTCACTTAGTATATGTTTTTAAAACTGAAAGGCTTCTTTTTAAGTTTTTTAAAAGTAGGTTTTTCAGAAGGTGATTGACATATAAATTTGTTTCAAACAGTAGTTGATTTACACTTGTGTGAATTAAACTTAAAATGATTTAAAACATAGGGATATAAGAAATATGATAATATTTAATATTTTTTCCAAATTTTAAAGTTTTGTTTCATTCTTAGTGAAGCATTTTATAATTTGCATGGATATGTTTATAAAAAAAAAAAATGGATCATTTTAGGAACACAGACAAGAAATAGAACGCTTACAGAACACTATACGCAGACAAGAGGAGGAGCTATGTAATCTCCGGGCCGAGAGGAAGCTTTACGTCCGACCCGAGCTGGAAAACACTCTCGACAGAGTAGAGAGGACAATCGTCAATGAAATCAACGAGGAATGCAGACGCAACTCTGGAGTTATAGGCAGCAGTCCACGGAAAGTCAATCTCAAAAAGTATGTGGGATAGGATAAAAATTACACAAATATTTACGTCTTTAATGGTTTAAAATGTCAGTGGAAGGTTATACAGTGAAACCTCTCTAATCCAGATGTTCTATATTCTGAAATCTTGTCTAATACAGTGTAAACTTTAACTCCTTTGCAGTAAATTCTAGTGTTTAAAATATTATCTAATCCAGAATGTTGTCTAATCCAGCCAATATCTTTTGAACCAATGGTGTCTGGATTAGACAAGTTTAACTGTATCTCCAAGAATAAGCTTGAAAAGGAGAAAGATTTTCTTTGTTATTTGTATAGAAGCTGCACATATATATATAGGATCTCCCATGATTTGTAGTTGGATATGATTTTTATCCAACGAGTTGTGTGTTTTTTATCCCAGAGCCTTGGTGAGGGGATAAAAACACACAACGAGTTGGATAAAAGTCATATCCAACTACAAATCATGGGAGATTCTTTTTATCCCATGTTAAATACTTCACATCCAATGTTTTACACTGTTTTATATAGGACTCCACTTTATTTTACTTCATCACTCTAACGCAAAAACCATTGTGACGTCACAACTGCACTTAACTGTGGAATATGAAAAAATTATCCAATGAGTCATATCCACAGGATAAAGGGGTAAACGTGGGATAAAAATGAATTCTAGATGTTTACTTTCACTATACTTTCATTTTTTTTAGTTCAGAGGGAAATGAACCCTTATAGTAATTGATTGTTATATCTATCAATACAAAGAGATATGAGTGTTAGAATTAAACCGAAGTCATGGTCTGATGGAGGGGTGTTTCATATTCCTTCAGTAAAGTAATTTTAGAGGAAGCCAGTGTCGTACAAAGCAGATAAGCAATATTTATTGTATGAGTTTATCAATTTTTATTAGATATGCATAGTCTTTACAATCTTGTTTTCAGCTTTCAAGTAGAAAATGGAGGCTACACTCCCAATGGCAGGAGAACTCCTACCACAGCAGCTTTGGTAAGTTTATTGTTATGCATCGTAATCACGTGTTACTAAATATAACCTTCCCTTCCTTTTTAGTACCAGGATTAGTAAAGGATTGTCATGCTATGTCTGCGTACATATATTTTGAACATTGAATAATTTACAGCAGTCGTAGCTACAGAAAAAGAATTGATATAGTTGCAAAGGAAAAACGATGGGTGAAAAATGTAAAGTTCATGTATTATTCAGAATTTTTTGTTCCACAATAGATACAGCCCACAGATAACAAAGAGGTTGGTTTGTCACACATAATAATGCTGATGACTTTCCTGTATATGCAATACTGTCTGTTTTAACATGGCTGCCTTGTATTCTATAGATGTTACAGCTTACCTCTTTTAATTATTTATTTGTTAAAATAATGATAAATTTTAGTCTGTCATTACCACTTTTAGTAATATGTATATATATATTTGTTAAAATGACACTTGTACAAGTCTGTTTCTGCTAATGGGCCAGGGTTTAGTCTGAAAAGTTTGCGTAGATATACATGTGTGATTTTCGCCAGCTCTGAAATTTTCATACATGTTAACTAATTTCAGATATTTTTGTATTGTTAATTTCATGTTATATAACCATTTTCAAAAATTTCATTTGCATAGAGAGTATAATTCACAGAGAGTAATTTTGCTTTACTTTTCACAAAATCACAAAACACAGAAATAAAAATACCTTCAATGCACTAATTTCCATTATTTTAAAATGCTTATAAAATTCTCTGGAATCCCAAAATTGAGTATGAATTTTTTAAAAGTATGTGCCTCTTTTGGTTTTATTAATTTGAATAAAGATGTTTAATAATTGCATCTTTTTGCGCAGGCAAACCTCAGAGCCTGCAACCAAGACCTACGTAACCATGTGACAGAATTAAAACGAGAATTGGAATTACAGAAATCAGCTCTAATGAGAGTGGAAAGAGAGAAGGTATTGGTATTGATTGGAGGATTCTCTTGTAATATAAGGTTGACAACTGTCATTCAAGGATATCAATGAAGAATTCCAATACTACACTGTTCTTGTTACCCTTTTTAGTAATATGTTGTACAAATGCTGTAAATCAATTTTTATTTTTGAGAACTTTATTTTTGCATAGTTCAGCAAGACTGTTTACTCACAAATATTTCATTCTTGCATATATCCTTATTATCAATGATTAAATACAACAATAACCCAAATTTGTGAAAATTTTGTCAAAATAATTAAAATATCAAATAATAACTATCTCACCTGACTCAAAAAAGAAATCTACAAGTCCAAATGCAATTTTTCTCTTACACCATTTTAAGTTCAGATCAATTTAGTTCTTAAGAGACTCTGTGTTTATGAGTACAGTTGTACTTCATTAAGAATTTATAACATGGCAGTAATTATCTTGGTACAGGACGACCTTGTGCAAAATGTAAAGAAAGAGATAGAAATAGAAAAGAATAAAGAGCTAGACAAAATGAAGCAGAGCTTGATGAAGGTAAGTGTTCTCCATAAACTTATCTACAATAATCTGATTTATTCTACTAAATTAATTTTTTGTGATTTAAAAGAATCAATGTTTTTAAAATATGTCAAGTTATCTGAAATCAAAGTAAAATATGTACATGTATATTAATATTATTTAAAGTGCATTGTATGTTAGATTTTTGTAGTTGTTGCACATTTTTTATTTTTTTCTGTGCTTTTTGTAGCAGGTGCCAGCACTGGAATACAATGGGTACAATGTGCACAAACCCAACAATCAAATGTAAGGAAATGGTAGCACAATTAATGCACATAAAACACAAATTCACAAACCACCAGAGAGTTCAATGTCTTCTGTTTTACTTTGGCACGTTCTTAAAGGACAATTACTCTAAAACTAGAGCTCATTATAAATATAGATACATGCATATACATGTATATTGCTTAACTGGATGTTGTATCCTGCAAACATTGCACTCTCTGTCATAGATCTGTCTAGTCACACTATAACCTGAGTGATGCAAGGGAGGTAATTCAAAAAAAGCACATTTGGTCTGTTTGGAGATGTTGCTCAATTAAATTGTTTTATCAGGAAAATGAACAAAAACTGCAACAGCAGGAGCAAAGTTACACTGAGAAAGTTAAGACATATGTAAAGATATTAAAACAGAGAGATGAGGATATAGAAGCCATACAAAATAACTATGATAAATGGAGAATGGCTACTGATGCCATGATGAATCGAATGGAGGACACACTGTATGACTCAAGGTATTGTAACACTGCTGAGGGTGAAGGTTTGTTGTATCTAGAAACAAAAATCATTGGAAATGTGTATCAGATTGTTAGGCTCATCAGATGAAGAACAGTTATTGTAGTTATAAATAATGAGAGTCGGAACTAGTATACTGTCAACTTGCTCACCTTGGGAAACCATTATGACTTAAATAAGAAATCTGAATCGAAGATTCAACTCTATGATTCAGAAGTGATATACATGTATTTAAATCCTGATATTTTTATGTTGTAGGCAATATAACAACAAATTGGTGTCCACCCCCCACTATGAGTACAGTCCCCGGGGTGAAGTACAAAATTATGAGATAGGAAGACTAGAGAGAGAAATCCGCAGACTAGCAGAGGTAGGGAAGATGTCACAAAAATCATAAAAATAGATTACACTTGAAGTATATAAAGTGTATGTATAAAAGTAAAGTATTTGCTATTGTTCATCCTTCTGCATAAGCATGGTTGTGTAGTATGTGATGACAAAAGCCTAGAGATATGAAATACACTTTATCCTTTCACTATTGATAATAGCAAATTCTTCCATTTCATAAATATTTTTTCTCCATTTCAGAACCAAAAACAAATCATCCATCAAAATGCCTCTGCCGTAGAACACGATATTCAGAATGAAAAAATGATAAATCAGTTAAAAGCCAAGGTCATGCAGCTTCAAGATGAGAATGTTGCACTTAAAAGCAGCAAGTTTAACTCCTACTCTGTTCCTGATTTGTCAAATCCAGCTCACTATCGCTCAGTAAGTAAACAGACCTGTAAACAACTAAAGTCAGCATTTTATAGTAAAGTATAATGGTATATATGCCTGATCACAGAAAAAAGGGATATGTGATAAGTTAACTTTCATTTTCTCCAAAAGAAAATACCTGTAATGCAAATAAATTCAAGAACTATGGATAAAATTTTTGATTTTATGCATATTGAGTTTTATCTTCTTAAGCAGTTGCACAAATTATATAATCAAATATTACAAGTTTTTGATGCTATAGTGCAATAGATCTACAATCAGCGGGGTGATATGAGAAGTACATCAGTTATCACATTATAAGGGAGATAACTCTTGCAATCATTGCTTTTCACAGTCAGCTTCCCTTCACCAGCCATCACACAGAGAGAAGCTGGCCCACTATTTGGAGCAGAGATCTAAGGAAGGATTAATAGACAGTGAGACTGTGGCAGAACATCAGAGAATGAACAGAAATATGATGTCACAGAAAATGATGGAGATGACACGTCTACAGAATTCCCTCACTGACCAGGCGAAGGTATGTTAGCAATACAGAATACTCATATATGTATATAACTACTTGGCAACTGTTTAAAAATTTGTAAAAATTTTACACAGGCTTAAGTCTTTGCCATTGAATTCAGTACAGCTATTTGCCTTTTCTGAGGATCTGAAGTACTATTCTTTTTCCAAAGTATGGTAAATATCAATTTATAGCGAACACAGCTGATAAAAGCAGTTAACTACATCTCTGTTTTATTACCGAATTTAGTATGAAATGCAATTATTTCCATGATAAGATATTTGGATAAGTATTTAAAATTGGTCAGTTGGCAAACAATATTGTGTAAAATTTTTCCTGTAGTAGCTAGAAAAATAATATGGAAGGTATTTGTAGTCCTTATGTACATGCATGTATAATTCTTACAACTTCTGGTTATATTTAATGAAGAACACAAAACATTTGCCTCAGAGCTTTAATAGTGATTTCTTTATATTTAATTTTCATTTTTACACATCTTTCATGTAGTAACCAATATTAGACGAACATTTTAGTTTTATCAGTTTACCTCATACTGTGCACCTAAATATGTAGAAAATTATTTGCATTAAAGCTTTCATTTTTTTTTTTTATTAAAGGGATGTTTTCTCTAAATATTCCCATTTTTAATATTGTAAATTTTAAGTTTAATGTACTTTTTTTAATAGAGTCAAAGAATCAAATGGTATATTTCTTATATTGTCCTTAAGGAGATTAATTAATTTAATGTTAAAATACATAAACAAATACTAAAAGATGTGCATTTCTGAATTTTGGTATATGGATTTCTTTCATGTTGTTGTCAAAAATATAATTGGTGCTTTAATGAATATCTAGAGAAAGCATTCTGTAGCTTAGCTTGTGCTACATGTAGCTATAGATATTGTGCTAATATAGAAAATGTTACAGTTTTAGCAGGTTATGGTGATGGTGCTTGCATGTATCCAAAGCTGTGAACACGCTGTGCTGACCTGGCAACTATTTCATTACAACCTAAATCTAATAAACATTGCTAACATTGGCTTCATTGCATGTTTCTGAGCTCTGGCTTCAGTTCATCATTAAGTTTCATGCATCTTAAAACTTCATTAAATTATAAAGCTAGTACATGTACATTTATATATATAGATTAGATTACTTATATTCAGTCTACCTTTAATGTTTCTAAATTACAACTAATTAGTTTTGTGTCTTTTCATACCTTGCTAAATATAAGAATTGAAAATTAATTTTAAAAAAAATGATATTCAAATATACCGTAACATGTTTGGACACCTGCTGATGTTGGCATGTTGTTTGAATTTATTTTAGGATTTGATTCACCTGAGTAAATCCTATCACCAGCTGAACAAGAGATCGCCATCACCTGTAAAAGATCTCAACGTCACCCAGTAACAGGAGGGGGGCAATAATGGGAGGGGATAGACTGTGGTCATTAGTATTATCTATATTTGTTTCAGAACCTGATTTACCTGGGCAAGTCTTATAATCACCTGGACAGGTATTACCATCCCCGAGAGGCCTGGTACTCTGTGCACGACAATAACCAATACTGACTGTATTCATGTAATTATGTAATCAAATACAGTTACATTTACAGTAGCCATTACAGAGTGTAATCATAAATGTAATAACACGAATGTAATCATGTTTCCATCGTTTGTAATTTATGTTATCATGATATTCTAGCATTAATGGTACATGTATATTGTTACAAAGTAGTTTTAATTATTGATTGTATGAGCTTTAATACACAAATTGCAAAGATATTTGTAGTCAATCTCTTAAATGTATAATTGTGAAAGTAATGTTGGCAGATAAATGAATCGAGACTTTTTATTCAATTTACCTGTTCCATCTAAATAGGAGTTATATATAAATTGTGTCAGTGCTAATGTGTATTTTTGTACATACTGGCTACGTACATTTTGCAATATTTCCATCTGAACCGACTTCCATAAGGTTATATGTTATTTGTAATATTTTTTTGTCCCTTATATAGCAAGTGTTAATGCATGGGTAGTGGAGTTATTTGTATACATTATCAGACACCCAAGTTACCTCTGAACAAAATCAAAGTTAACCTGAATGTTACAAGTATGTATACAGTAAGCCTCTGTATGTACAACTTTTAAGTGTTAGAGTTTAGTATTGCATTAAATGCATATCTAAAGAACTGTGTATCTTAATTGGCCTTTTGTACCAATTTTAGTCCATGAAGTACAATGTACATGTATATTGAAATTTGTACAATGATATGATTACAACTTATATACAATGTAGCAAGATGAAAAAAAAATCAAAAATAGTGTAGAGGTTATTTATGCTGAAGTTTGTCCATGGTATGATATGTCCATATGGACATAAAGGTATTTTCATAATTCACACAAGTGAAATATTTATTTATTTAGAATTGTATGTATATACTACAGGTCTCGTGCCAAATTTTCTAATTTTGGTAGTCCTATTTACAAAGTGTTGTGGTAGATATTAGAACAGGAAGCTGGATTCAGATCTGATATTTTCGCTGTAAATTTGCTTTATTTATAGTTGCTGTTTTGCTGAGCTTTTTTTATTTATAACTTTACGGAGATGCTACTCTCTGATGATCCATCAAGTGTCTGTGATATTCAGTTCCGTCCATACAAGGAAGTCATAGTGCTGTGTTTTAGATAGAAATGAAAGCAAGAGATTGAAAGAGTGAACGAATGCTTTGATGTTGTGGGTATCTTTGTATGAATGGGGAAATAGAGTAGATTTTTGCAATTAGAGATTACTAGCTAGGATTTTTTTCTATTATGCATTTTATGCAAATTTATTTATGATATTAATATATATATATATACATGAATAAAATATAATTTATGTTCAATTTTAATGTTTCTTCTTTGAGAGTGAAATTATTATATGCTATGATGCATACTGATTCATTGAAATGCATAGAATGGCTGACTGTTGGTTAGCAAGGAACACTCGAACAGCTGTATCATTATGCCTAACCAAGAATATGTCTGGAGCAGACAGTGTTTGTCATGTCTGTCTTTCCATCTTTTTCTCTGGCACACTTTCTGTTTAGCTTGGTTTCAAAGGAACTGCTCAAGATATTTTTTATCAAAGCTATGCCGATACACATTGGTGAGAGCTATTCAACTGCATCAACATTTTTTTACCTTGACCTTTTCTTTGACCTCACTTTTCCTTAATTTGTGTTTAACTCAGTTTCAAAAAAACTATTCAAGATATTTTTATCTAAACACATATATTCTGTTAAATATTAGTGAGAACTTATCATACATGTCTTTTTTTAAACCTTGACCTTCCCTATGACCTTTGACTCTACTATTTGTTGTGTTTAAAACTCAGTTTCAAGAAAATATTCAAGATATTTTCATCAAACTTTAAACACTAATACAAATTGATGAGAGCTATTCAACTTTGTCATAATTTTGTGACCTTAACCTTCTCTGTGACCTTGTCCTCACTATTCCTCATTGCATTGCATTATTAATGATCCCTGGGCAGGGCACTCATGTTGTAAGGACATATTTCTTGGTATTCCTGCCAGAAAGTAAGGAGAGTAGCCTGAATGCATAATAACCACATAAGCATTCAGACACTAGCTTGCAAATTAAGTTGAGCATATCTTAATTGCTAAAAATCTTCAGAGTACCAAGTCACAAAAAAAGAAGACAAAATTCAATAGTAGATAAGGTACTGTAATTTATTCTACTTTTTCCCCCTCTGAAATTGCATTGTGTACATAATAAATAAATAACTGCAAGTACAATTTCTGCACTCCTTGATTTCTTACATGGATCAAGTTTGTTCAATTGTAAAGTAAAATTAATATTGCTGCTATTGCAGAAAATTTTTCTCATACATGTATATGATTGCTATAAAAATAATGAGTATTGTGATAATTACAGTCAGATCTTTTTCCTTTTTCTGTGTATTGCAGTAAATGTTGCTACTTAAGTCAATGTCCATCTATAACCATCACAGAATGCTTCTAATAATTCTAAAACTAAATTTCTATAAAAAGGAGAATCATCGAGACCTGCTCCACGAAATAAGAAATTTACAATCACTGATGTCAAGACTATATTCATTCACCATCACATGACATATGGCATGTTTCAGTCACTATTCTGAAGCACTACATACCAGTTTACACTGTAGTAGTTGGGGACCAGTTTAATCAATTGAGTTCTGTAAGAATCTTCTCAATTTTGGGATTCACTTGGACTCCTGTTAACTTCCATTTTAGAGCACTGAAGTCAGCACACTCAATCTTCTCCTTCTGATAATCAGGTTGGTCCACCTGTTCTTGGGAACTGTTTATAAAGAAATAATTAAACCATATTTATATGAGATAAAGTCAGTACACTATAGCTAGATAATACATTAAATATTGTTAATATTTTAAAGTAAACGCCATTTTATTTTAAATTGTTTATTCAGTTTTTGTAAATTGGATAAAAAGAGAATTGAAATCATGTTCAGGAATCACAGATGATTTTATGATATGGCCCACATTACATTCAGTGCAATTGTCTGGAGTACAACCATTATACACATATATGTATCGATCCAATTTTAATCTTGTCACTATAATTATAAATAGACTTATTAGATTTAGAAACATTTTAGGTATGACTACAATACTTGTGGTTGTTTAGGCAAGTATATATGAAATACTGAACATTGCAGGGGGAAAAAGGGCCCATGGGCCCCTTTGCTTACTTGTGTTCTCAGTGTTCTTACTGAAAATTAAAGTTGGTAGATTTGAGTCACACTTAACCTCTATCTCAGCTAGTCTAACTTATACTAAACACTCTTAACAATTTTCTGCAATGTACTCTAATTGTAGTTCTGCTTTGGCTCTGGAGATTATGATCTAAATGAATTAAATTTACATGAATAAATTTTGTATCAAGTTTGACTGCAATTTGAAAAAGCTGACTAGATTCTGTGAGGATAATGAACACATGCAATAGTGATTTACAACTGGTATTTCTCAACTATCTCTTTTGCAAATTTTTCTATCACCAGGCAATAGAATATTTTAGATACTGTATATTAAAATTTTCTTCATCCAATCATATATTTTATTTTAAATCTGCTTGAAAATTTAAAAAGTGGATTAGGTGAAGAAAAAAATGTGATGTATATGCAGGACTTGCAAATACTTAAATACACACTTGTGCATAGAGACAGTCAAAGTCTAAACAAATTTGGATTAAAAACCAGAGGTCTCTGATGAGACTGTAGCTCTACTGGTCTGTACATATAACAAAGGAAAAGTAGCACTTGGATTTGAAATTTTGCAACATGCAGCAATAAATAGAATTATGTATTTTAGTGTAGTCTACTTGTGTGCCAAGTTATATTGAAATCAAACAAAAACTGTAGGAGGAGTAGCATTTTGAAAGTATTTCACAGAAATTTCTCTTTCAAGTAACCATGGCAACACCATTCACTGAAATCAAAATCTGATATACACTATTATGTAACATAGTGTTGTCTAATTGTGTGCCAATTAGATTGAAATCAGACGAAAACTGTAGCAGGAGTAATGTTTTAAAGGAATTTTACAGAAATTTCTATTCTTAGTAATCATGGCAACACAGTTCATCGAAATTAAAAACCGATGCACTAAATTATGTATTTTAATGTAGTCTACTTGTGTGCCAAGTTATATTGAAATTAGACCAAAACTGTAGGAAGAGTAGCATTTTAAAGGAATTTTATAGAAATTTCTATTTTTAGTAACCATGGAAACACTGTTCATCGAAATCAAAAACTGATGCATTAAATTATGTATCTTAGTGTACATGTAGTCTACTTGTGTGCCAAGTTATATTGAAATCAGACCAAAACTGTAGGAGGAGTAGCGTTTTAAAGGAATTTGACAGAAATTTCTATTTTCAGTAACCATGGCAACACCGTTCATCGAAATCAAAAAATGATGCATTAAATTATGTATCTTAGTGTAGTCTACTTTAGTGCCAAGTTATATTGAAATCAGACCAAAACTGTAGGAGGAGTAGTGTTTTGAAAAATTGTTTACAGACAGACAGACGGATGGATGCCGGACACCTTACTATCGCATAAGCTCTTCTGGTCTCTGACCAGTAGAGCTAAAAATCTCATTTGAGTCATTTACTCAGGTGAGCTACAAGTAAAAATCCACAGCATCAGAGCAAACATTTTTTACCTAAGATTTGATTAGCAACAAACAGAGGTTTTTATGAATTTTTGAGGGTTTTAGATGACACACTGTTATTTCTGGCATGCTACAACACCATCACTTACTACTGTTCACCACAAATGTAGATCAAATATATGTAAGTGTTTACTTACTCACTGCAATAAAGAGCAACATCATTCAATGAATTTTTTTACGATGTGCAATGAAAAACTGCATTTAAGCTTTTTGTGTATCCATTTTGTTTAAAGATGAGGAGGTATTTGGGAACTTAAATGAAAACAACATTTCATAAGAATCTCTATATTATAATATTTAATGTTTGTTAAGTTCCTATCAATTTGTACTTACACATGAGTGGAACACATAAGTCTCTCAGCTAGGGCAGTCATTGCTGAAAAAGCATCTAGGTCTACTTTAGTTGTTTCTGTGATGTCCAATAGATCAACTATTTTCTTGTAATCCTCTGATGTTATAGTGTTAACTAAAACTTGGGTCATGGCCTTCTCTAAATCCTGAAATGAAGAATTTACAAATGTCTAAATACCCTAAAACCTTGAAAATTAGCCGGATTTAATAATAAGCCGTTTTTGAAAATAAGCCACCTATTTCTTGCATTGAAAATTACTCGAAAATAAGCCTGATTTGAAAATAAGCCAGTAATGATAGTTCCATTTAGAACACAGTGTTATTTTTAATTACAATATATTTTATTTTATTATAAACATTCTATGACATTAATAATTTTATTCAACAAAGCACAAGATATTAAAGCACTATTATTTTCTTTTTACCTCACAGAAATCTTGACATTCATTACATGTCATCTTTAATTATCCTCGCAGAAATAATTTTATTTCAACAATGCACGAGAAACTGTTGAACTTCAGTTTTATAAAATCGACTTAAATCTTTATTTAGCAACGGTAATCATGACTTTGTGCATCGCGGTAATCTCTTATTTTCAACAGAGCTCGAGTTATTTTAATAATTAAGTTTTAACAAACTTGATATTTCTTTTTTTAAATTACTATAATGGAAGAAGGTTATAAATCGACCCCAATTATATCAATGAAAATAATCAAAGCCATTGATAATAGGGGTGATGAGAAAATTATTAAACAAACATGTACACTCCTTCACAACAATGGCTTTAATTGGGACGTATACGGGGGTGTTTACATGAAATTTCCACTGAGTTATTTGAAATCAAAATAAACTTATAAATTGCTTTTTAAAAAAAAAAAAAAAAACGAGTATCAGACTGATTTGATACATTACGCAAGCACGTGGCAAAGGAATGTGTAAACGTCTATAAATAACATCATGATATGGCGGCTTGAATATGCAGCTAAAATTAATTTTAACTCGCTTTCCAATATAATTTAACCATCAACAGATTATAAATTTAACATTTTCAACAAGTTTACGTTCTTATCATAATTTACTAAGGTTTTAAATATAGCGGTAAACAACAAGAAATTGTCTATGTCTGTTGGTAATGCTACAGTATGTCCGATAGCCGTGCATATTATACTCGGCCAAATGTGGCAGTTCAAAATCGATCGATTATAATTTATTGTTTAGATAATAAGCCGTGATTATGCTCTCGTCGCTTACCGGTTTTTGGTTTTGATAATAAGCCGCGATTTGAAAATAAGACGGTTTTGAAAATAAGCCCCCATTTTCTTACCAAAACTTAAAATAAGCCGCGGCTTATTTTCAAGGTTTTAGGGTATTGTAAATCAGGGCTGCCTTCAAGATCATAATCTCTACATTGCCGCTATGATCTGGAACAATATGCTAGCCTAGCCATAACAAGCATTAATTCTTTAACAGTGTATTCAGTAAGACCAAGATATTTCACCAAGCAGTTAGGAAGAGTGCTATGATCTTGAAAGCAACCCAGAAATATCCTTACATAGAGGATTTAATCACCCCCCCCCCCCCCCACACCTTATTTATAAATATTATATAAATAAAAAAGTATTTGAATTTTTAACCAGATACAAAAATTATTTGTTCTTTATCATATTACATATAATCTATAGAAATCACATTTATACATTAAACTTCATCACAAAAATTGTTAAAAACACAGGGGAATTTAACTCTTGCTCTTAGCACTAACATCACTTGACAAACCTTATATGGTATTGCGCCAGCAGTTTTGTCTCTGTGTTTCATATAGATGTCCTGGTAGAGTTTCTTCCGTCGTCTTTTGATGATGCAGAAATTTTTCACATATTCTAATGGAGTCATTTCTGAATTACAATATAAACCAAGAATACATATATAATAATTAAGTCAGGGGTAGTAATTCAAACAAATTAAAACATTTACAGTTCTGAAGAAATGAAGTCAAACAATGTTGATATTAGCAAGAGTAATATGTTGACAATCTGCCATTTCTGTAAATTAATGTTTCAAACTTACGCTCCAGTCTAGCCATATCTATTGGTAACGTAAATCTACTAGATTGTTGGGAGAGAGCTAATCTACCCGTCACCCAAGAGGTTTTTTGGACATTTTTCTGAAATAAGAAACAAGTATATTTAATTTACTAGTATTAGATAAGTTTCATAGTTATTGAAATTGTAGAACTTCATATCCCAAATAATTCATTTTAGTCATAAAAACTTCAACATTAGTACATTTTGTATTTGATGACTAGACCTAGAGTTACCTACCCTTGGTGAGTCATCACCAGTCATTTCCATCATGGCAAAATCAAAATTCTTTAGTCTCTGTTTAAGCTGGTCATCTAAATCATCCTGTTATATATAAAAAAAACCATTAATGGATCCCCAATTAGAAAGCATGTTTCATTGTCTTATAGTAAAAATCAAAAGTGAAAGAATTGAGTTTCATACCCAAAGAACTTGTAAACAAGAATATAGCATGCAGGTTATCTTTGATTTGTCTCACAGTTCTATGGCTGTATTTATAATTCTGAAGTATTTAACTTCAATTCTTTAAACTGGTTTAAAAAAATGGTTGAATAATAGGACTCATAAGATAGTTTGTATTAAAAAAAAAAAATCCACTGAACCTTTATAGACTGGCACCATTATTCAACTGCTATGAAATTTTAGAAAACTCCCATACAGTATTTACAAAGGACTCTACAGTAAATCTTGATTGTTTGACCTTGACCTTTGAGCAAGTAACCTGTGTATTTTCTTTCATATATTTTGTAGTATATATGATATCTGCAGATTACAAAATGTCCAATGTTCATATCAATCATCGTAATCTCTGATCCTGCTCTGGTTTACAGTGACCTTTCATTTGTTCAAATGTCCCTAATTAAAAATGTATAGGTGTCTAATCCTCCAATCATTCTTCACCTATTTAGTATAATATGGAGCCAAGTTAAGAGGAGAGTCCTTAGAGTGTAAAATGACACCATTGCAATTATGCTAATTTTTGACCTTGACCTTTGACCAAATCAAACCTAAAATTTGATCCCAACTAACCTCCACCTACTGTAAAAGCAGAAATTTTGTTGGGGATAAAATTTTGTTGATTTGTTATTTATGAGGATTTCATGCGGGGTACAATAATGTTGCTTATAAAAAACATGACAAACTATATCTGAATAAATGTTTTGTTAGGGATTTAAATTTGTTGAAAAGTTGTAGCTAAATAATATCAATAAATAAATATTTCTGCTTCTGTAGTACATGTATATCATTTTCATTATACGTAAGAGAGTTGACAAAAGAACAGGTAGGTAGCTCCTTCATTTTGAAAAAGGACCATAGAGATGTAATATCATCTTACAATTTATACTAGAATTGACATGCAATGATAAAGAGGCTATATTATATACAGGTACACATTAATCTAAAGATGCACATACTCTAACAAGTCATTTTCTTCCTAATTAAATGTTAGTAATCACTGCGCAAGACATGATCCATATAATTTATGTGATGCAACATATTGAATCAGCACAAAACAAGTGTGACCAAACACGTCATGAAAAAATCTTTTTACTGACACACATGCAATATAAACCAACTCAATCTTTTTCAGTAATTCAAGCATGAAGCTACATTCAATTATTAGTGATATGATAAAATAATTCGACATATATTAAGTGTGATCGCAGCAATTCATTAGTCAAACTATAATTTAGCAGATTAGACAATAACAATATGGCTTTCTGCCGCTCACAACTCAGTGCCCAGACAGCTTACCCCCTGCTCTAGTTCATCCTCTGTGGGTAACTCAAGAGGAGTTCTTACTCTTGGATGCTAACAACATGGAAATCATTTTTAAAAATTTACCAAACTAAAGTTTTATTGATGTTTTTAGTGCTTATGAAACAATGTCAGGTATGACATTTGTATGGTTCATGGTTAAAGCTGACACATCATTAACAAGAGGCCCATGGGCCACAATGCTAACCTGAGTCACATTGGCCCTGATATTCCTGAGAGAATTTTTTGTAAAGTTTTTTCTCCCCACTATTTTTTCTTATAAGTTTCATTTTTTCAGGCCCAGTGGTTCTTGAGAAGAAGGTATTTTAAAGACACCAACAAATTATCACTAATTTTTAATTCTCTCCCCTTAAAGAGGGTGTGGCTCTTCATTTGAACTAGCTTGAATCCTTCATTTAGGGATGCTTTGTGACAAGTTTGGTTAAAATTGGCCACATGGTTTTGAAGAAGTTGAAAATGTGAGAAAATTACAGACAGATGGACAGATGGACACCATACTTTTCTATCAGAAAAATTCTCTTTTGCGTTTGACTCAGGTGCACTAAAATTTTTGTTAGAAATCTGGTAGGTTTTCTAGATTGATGGTATAAAGTGAAGTACTATATCATAAAATTTATTAGATGTTATTTTAACCTTATGTTTAATGAAAAAAAAACCTGCCATAAAATCATAAAATATGCAGAGCAATATTTACCTATGACATCATATTTCTTATAAAGTATAAATATATAAGTACTGTCTCTTTTATTTCTTAATACATGTATGCTGCTTATTTTTTGAAAATTGTACCACAAATATTCAACTCTCAGCAGTTGTACTCTGTTAAATACCTCACAACTTGAAAAAAAAAAATCAAGTAAAATGCCTTACCTCTGGATCTTTGGGCGGGGGAGTCTCATGCTTGGGTTGTGACACTAAATGGCGCTCAGCTTTGCGTTTTTCCTTTTTGTCTTTCTTCTTTTCTTCAAAACTTGGTAGTGTGGGAACTTCTAAATCAACTTTGATATCTTTATTTTTCCTGTAAAAAAAACAAGATCTATTGACTCCTTGAGATCATATCTATATTCTTAGATATAAATGGTCATGGCATCAACATCATATATCAAAATTAAACTTGAAATTCAACACTTTACTCAATATAGATACCTCTAGATTTACAGAATTAACACAGTCTATTTGGTGAAATGGATTTATATTTCAAATTTCCTCAGAAAAAAATATATGTATCAAAAATTGTCACCAAGTATTCATACAATCGCAGTATAAATATAGCATGCTTAAAAGTGGTAGGAACAGTTTGCAGCAAATTTTAAGAAGACATTTATTGATTCAACACTCTGGGTCCACTTTCTTTGAGGGCCGTTTGTCAACGAAGAATTCCAATACACATTCTATTCTACTTCACATAACCTCCCAGGTGCAACTTGGATCAAACCGTCCTCTTTCATTGCCTATTTTTAAATATTTGACTACCTATTTGATATCAAATTTACACCTTTCAATCTGAGGAGAACATGTACTGGCATTGGTAAACATTTCTAACAGTGAAATTATTTGTAGATCAAAGGACAATATCCACATGGCAATTTTTCATAATATTAAAAGACAGAAACTAGAACTTTTCTTTTAACTAGCAAGAACATATTGTAAAATCTTTTTGCTTTCAATGCTTTTAAGTTTTTTGAAAGCATTAAATAAAAAAAAAAATTTAGAAACCTTTACGTCTCTTGAATACATTTTTGAATAGTCCTAAATAGCAATCAAAACTTTGAAGAAAACATTCTGTAGTAAATTTCTATAATAAAGTGTGCCATTGCAAAGCTATTATGTAAATAATAGCTTTTTAAATGACAGCTAGTATGTTCCTAACATTTACTTGGAAACTTGAAAACAAAATTTAATACATGTATGTTTTTTCTACCTTAAACAAAATTTAAATCTACAACTTCAAATCTATATGGATATTTACGAAAACAAGTTCCGAATGTCATATGAAACTTTGATATGATGCTAAAAGAAATATTTGTGTTCCCCTGTAATTTTTAAAGAATTTTTAAGAAATAAAACCATTGCCTTACCTACTTTTCCTCTGAGATTAAAATAAACTTTTGACAAGTTGACAAGCAATCCCCTCAAAATGATATGAATGAAAATATTCAGTGAAATGATTATAAACTTGTTTCCAAGATGCTTATCTCTGGCCAGCAGATAAGCTGGACATATTTTCCTTCAACTTTATGTACACAGGGCAAATCTACCCAATTGATTGACAAGGGAAATTGATTGTGCAGATTTACAGTTGGGAAAATCAATGTCCTCAGATTATACCCCATCAAATGATTCTTCTTATTAATGACTTTTTATGGAGTTTTCCAACCATTCCATAATGTTTCTCATATTAAATCTTTCATGTGGTTTTTCTCTCGGATTAATTAATAAAATCTTAACAGCTAGACCATAAACCTTCACAAGAAAAAAATCTGGAGCAAGTCAACTTTAGTAGTAAAGTTTAACTTCCTAATTGCAATTCTATTAATTTTATTACATTTAATTAATTAATTTTTTGACAAAAACACAATATCTAACCTTTTTAAGATTTGAATTCAAAATTCCTTTCCCCACAAAAGAGCATAATTCCAATGTCTGAATATAAAGCAGCCTGAAAACAAATTACTGCCTGGAAGATTGTCCAATATTGACAACTGTCAAATTGACTTAAATTCTCTATTTTACCACCCAGAATATCTACAAGTGGAGATTTTAAAAGTCTGGTTTAAATTCTTTTATTGAATTTTATTTTCAATACCCATGTTCACAAACTTCGGTGACATTCAAGGATCGTAATTAAAAGCCACCGTATTCTTACCTAGAAACGTGGCTGTGTTTTACCTATAAACAACATGACGTGCTAAGCCTTTTTTATCTTGTCACTTCTCTTTCTTTTGTACTAATCTCTGTTGACAGAGGATTCTTGTCAGTGCACACAAAGATTTGCACTGCACCGTTCGATCATGGTAATTGTCCAATACAAACCTTTTCTTATCAAAGACAAAAAAATACAAAACCCTTTTTTTTTTAGCTTTATCAAATTTGACATCAAAAAGCCTCAAGGACAAACTATGTATATTTTACTGCATAAACAAATATTTAAATAATGAAAGTAGAGGAAATGGCAATCTCAAGCAATTTCTTCCACAGAGAGTATATTTATTTCTTGAAAGACTTTTGCTCAATAGAGTTGTCCAACAAAAAGAAAGGTTTTTTCCTTTAAAACTGTTGCAATTTTCAAAGAGATCAGCTAGGCTTATTTAAAATATCAAACATTTGAAAAGGAAAAAAGAATGATTTCATATTAGAACCCATTCAGGCTATTAAGTTTAAAATTTTAAAGTGTTTACTTTCTATGCATATAAGTATTTACCTAGAAAATTTTATCTTTTTACAAGGAATATCCTAGTCTACCAATACAGTTGTGACTGAACTAAGAACTTGCTGTGCCAAGGGGGGTAACTCTATGCTTATCATGCGAGCTAAATCTTTTTGCAAATGAATGTTAATGATTTCATTAACAAATTTTTTTCACAATATTTGAAACTGCAACTAAATAGGGATGTTGAACCTAATGACATGCAAGGGGTTACATATGTACATACAGGTGACATGCAGTACCAATATTCTAAAGGTATGAGATATCCTGATTGGAATTGCATGCTTGTGTTGTAATTACCATTTCTGGATAAGTGTTACACTGGTAAAAAGATTTTATTAAATACAAATAATTATTTTTGATAATATACATTATCAACAAACTTAGTTCTTTCTTTTTTTATATTATAACCAATTTCAGAGATTAATGGAATGATTTTTTTTTTCAAGAGTTAAATTCCAATGAATAAAATAAATGAAAAAGAATTCTTTTTCATGAATATTGCTGGAAACTCATTTGCATATTAAAAAAAACAACATCCATTTAAAAAAAAAAAAAAAAAAATCATTTCATTGATAACTGAACATTTATTGCAAAAACTAGAACGGAAAAATTATCACTTTCCACATTTGGATATAAATCATGTCCTAAAAGTGCAGAAGTGAATTTAAGGAAAATTTTTCTATTTTTAATTGCTATAAATAACACCTTTGTCTCCTCAAAAAAGGAATTTGAGGGGGGGGGGGGGGTGACAGGTTGATGTAAATCATACATAATATACTGTATACTGTTTGTATCCTCAGTGCAGGGAGCATTAGACATGTCCACACTAATCTCACCCTCAATGGAGGAAAATCAAACTTAAAGAATGTTTCTGTATCAATAAACTTAAACCTGAATAAGGAATGGGTGTGTATTTAAATCAAATTTTGTCATTTTAATTTGAGAGTTGAATATATGAGGAAGCAGGTCACTAGTGTAGTTATAAATCACATTCAGGTGTCCTTGGTAGGGGTGTTGAAGGTGAGGGCAAATAGTTAGTCCAAGTACAAATCACGTTCATTTTTAGCCAGGAAACTTAGAGGTTGGGAAGTAGTCAGGTTAGGTATCATTCTCCATGGTGAAAGGTATTGGATTTATGGATAAATTACACTTCAAAAATGTAAGTGTTGAGTAGCTAGCTTAGACATAAAATACACATTACAGTCTACATCATGTGTCCTCAATAAGAGGACTTGGAAGAGGAGGTGTAGCTATTTTATATATAAATTACTTATGGGTCCTCAATAGGTGGAGTTTCTCCGAGTTAAAGGAGGAGGTGCAGATATTTTAAATCATAAGTCACTTGTGTGTTTTCAGTAGGAGGAGTTGGAGTAGGACATGTAGCTATTTTAAATTTAAATCACTTATGTGTCCTCAATAGGAGTTGGAGGAAGAGGGAAAGCTACTTAAAATATAATTCACTTATGTGTTCTCAATGAAGAAGTTTGAGAAGGAGGTGTAGCTATTTTAAATTTAAATCACTCATGTGTCCTCATTGGAGGAGTTGGAGGAAGAGGGATAGCTACTTGAAATATAAATCACTTATGTGTCCTCAATAAGAGGAGTTGGAGGAGAAGGGATAGCTATTTTAAATTTAAATCACTTACGTGTCCTCAATAGGAGGAGTTTGAGGAGGAGGAGTAACTGGTTTGGGAGGTTCCACTTTCTCTTCCATTTCCTCTTTAGTTTTCCTAGTCCTGTGAATAGGTTTTTTCTCCTTTTTGTTGATTGCCCTCTTTCGTTTTTCTTCCTCCTCAGCCTCACGAAGCGATTTTAGGAGGTCTTCGTCTTTGCTGAGGTCATCTTTTGGTGTCAAGGGTTCAGGGGTTGGTGGAGGTTGAACTGGAGATTGGCGACCATCTTTGTCATTGGGAACAGTGATAGGTTCAGGTTTCTGTTTAGGGAAAGCTTATTCGTAAGGAGTAAATCAATGCTGTATTGATGATAATTAAGAGCTGTATACAGATGTCTGATTTTCATTTGTGATTATTTTCAAATTTTTCTGACAAATACTCCATTCCAAATTTAATAACCCATACATGAGTTTTTCTATTCCTTTAACCTCATCATCCAAAATACTTTTGATGTTACTAAGGAAATAACAAAAAAAATTAAAAGTTTACTGAAGCTAGTGTACAATAAATTTCTTAATTTTTCATGTCCAATTTCCATATACACAGTTGTCTTTAATGCAGTCCATCATCTCATACGCATTACATTACATTAATGTAATAATAATAATATATAATATGATAATTAATTAATATAAGTTTTTAAATACAATTGACTATAATTACAAAACCAAATTTACCCATACCTTTTTTTGCTAAATGCTATCAATAGATACCAAGCAAAATGTTCTCCAAAACATAAATGAATTTGAAATATTGAGCTGACTCTGTGGGCACATAAAATATTCACAGTTACACTTCACAGAAAATTTTCTTTAATTCAGTGTTCATAAAATCCCAATCATTCCAAAATAAAGCAAAAGATTGCAGTACCCTACATCAGTATGTCAACAATTATTCCGATTATACCATTAATTACATGCCTATAAAGTCCTACAGGGCTTATACATCACAAATTTGTGTAAAAATGATTACAGAATCAACCAGGCAAAGGTCTTGGCAACAGAAGCAGACAGGTTAAAAAATCAATTTCTGCTCCGCACCATTTCTATGAGTATAGATCTTGTTCTGTTGGCTGTTCTCATTAATGAAACAGGTTTTAAAATTCAAACATTATTCTTGTAATTTGCTCATTGTTAATATTTTCAAGTTGTGTACATGGACTAATAATGTTGACATTATATTTTCCCTTATGACTACTGGATGTGAATACATGTATTTGTTTAGACTATTATCACGAATTTCTACAGATGTGAAAAATTGCTCTGTGCAATATGGGAAAGCAGTGTTATAGATTTATCTTAAACAAATGACCTTAATCAGAAATTCTATGAATTATTCATTAGTGTACTGTACTTATCTGAATTTCTCAGGCACTTTATTGAGCCAATAGACTCAGCTTAACTATATTTGTATTCTGCAGGAACCTCTTTAATTATTTGAAAAAAGTAAAAGTTATGATATCCCTAATATATATCAATTAATTATTTTCCCACAATAAACATTTTAAAGCAAATACATTTGCAAATGTAGTTCCAAAACTTCTATTTCAAATAGGAACAGTGGTGCATTTGATGTCACATCCCTTAATTAGTATTTTGTTCAAAAATCATAATTTAAAATTTCTAACCTATTCAGTCTCCTGAAAATAAAAAAAAATAAAAGAAAAAAAAACATACTGCATCAACACCACCAAGTTAGTCTGAAACTGTCTTTGGCATTGTGTGTTACATGGGAGCAAGGTCGTGGTGACTTACTCAGGAATAGGGTGACTGAAAATCTTAAGATTTAATTGTCTAAGAAAATATATAGACTATCAACTGTTTCTCATACTTGCCTTCTTTTCATCATTGTTATCAGTTTTAGTAGCAGGTTTGCCTGCAAAAAAGAAAAATAATAGGTCATCAAAAATTCTTTTGCTCTAGTATCTGAAGAAAACTAAGATATAATTGAATTTTTATGCTCATTGCCAGGCTCATTTGCTTATTTTTCAGACAGGAAATATCAAATGCAATGTAATAAAAATGACTGTTGGTAATGTTTTTATACATGACTATATATTTTATCCATATAGTTCTCGAACATAATACAATTTAATCTTCAAAAATTCTATTTATTCCGGTCTTTAGAATATATATCAATTATGTACTTCATTATCTGTTAGAAGTTAATCAAGTAATATTAACATTAGTCAACATTCCTTTGTATATCCAAATACCACCCAACACCAAACATTTTACAATATATTACAAAGATTATGAAATGCTCAATTAAGATATCAAAAACATTATATCATAATTTTGAGAGGTTCCTGTAAATAAGAGAGACACATTAAGCTATAAAAAGTAAGATTTTATCAGAGTTGTCCCCCTTCAGTCCTAGCATGGATAAACAGATTTGTAACTAAACAATATGCTCATGACATCAGTTAAAAATTTTTTTCTTTTCTTTTCTTTTGATAAACAATGAAAATAACTTCACTGGCTAGAGGTTCATTTGCTTTGTTTACTAATATTATTGCAATGAGGGACTGCATGTAAAGAAATATTACAGTTAATTAACCTTTAAAAATGTTTGATAACCTAGCTAGTCGAATACATTGTCAAATAGCAAGTTATCTCTCAGATATTTAATTAAAATCTGACACTAAAAAAAATCAGAATATTTTTATTATAGGTGCTTGAATTGTTCCCCCAAAGCAGATTATTTATTTTATCTTAATTCTGGAAAATTTCACATTCAAAATAAAGATGTTAAATAAAATATGGCAGTTTTTATTTGTGAATATGTATGTTAAATATATTAATATACTGCAAAGTTAATGAATAAAAAAAATTCAAAACATTGCATTAATTAGGATATTCTTCAATATATTAAAATAATAAATATGAGGCTGCATGCTCAACAAGGGGAGGCAAATCTCACTGCAAGCTAAAACAGTGTACCAGTGATGACAACTCTGATATCGACAGAAAGGTGCGGTGCCGGTGCTGAGCTGTTAGATCGGTCCGACTTACTGTCTGGGAAATCTATTACTGTGGGCGTAATGATATCTGGCTTTGTTTCTACCTCTGGTTCAACTTCCTCTTCTGAAATTTTTTTGTCATACATAATGTGCAAATACAAAATATATGTATATAACAAATATTTGATTTCACTTACACTGTATGAGCTGTGACTGAATGATACAGCATTGTACTACGAGAATACACAAAATATGAATTCTAGTGTCCATTATACAATCTACTTCTAAAGAGGTAAAACAAATGCTATCACATGTAGAATGCTATACCAGGGGTGGATTGAGGGGGGTCATAAATTTTTAAGTAAAAGTAACAAAAAATGACCTTGGAACCCCCTCCCCCCCCCCCCCCCCCCAAGAAACACAGACTCCTCTTAAACTGTAAGGATCAATCTAGAGTCATAAATTTGAAGAAAATTGACTTGGGAAAGTGTCTTCTCCTATATCCCCCCATACCCCCACAAATTAGTTGTTTACATTTTTTTAAAATAATTTTAAAATAATTTATTGCTTGCTAAAAAATTTCTTGAGTCTGACATATGCCCCCCCCCCAAAAAAAATCCTGGATCCACCTCTGGATATATAGTAAAGAAGATTTTGAATCTATAAGTCTTATTGCAGATAATTGATTGAAGCAGCTACTCTTCTACAGCTAAACTGTGTCTCCACTTCAAATACATCATCAATCCTCTCTAATTTTACTACTTGAACAACTCAACTACATCTAAATTGATGTTCAGTAACACCCATTCTTACTTTCGAGTAGATCTCTTTCATTGTCAGCACCATCCACCGTGGAGGAGGGAGATCCCGGTCGCCCCTCTGTTCCACCACGCCCCTCCTTACTGTGAACATACATATCAAATTTCATGTAAAGCATCACAGCATTTGTGCATTGAATATTCTAAACACTTTCACCTTATATTTTCATTTTAAAGTTAATGCCATCACTATGTTAAAAACAAATGATCCACTTTAGTGCTCTGTTAAAATTAAATGTAAATCTTAATATAACCATTCCCCAAAAAAGCACCATGCATTCAACCCACATCTAAAAAATGTTAATAATATGGTATAAGAATCTGACCATTATGAAAAATTATTAAAGAAATTATAAGCATAGGAAATAAAATAAAGTTTCCTATTCATCAGATTACATATCATTTAATTATATCATTCAATAGAGTGTCTAAATATTAGTTGTTGCAAATATAGAATTGCCACAAACATCAGTACAGTGTAACTTGTCAGCCGAGAATCTGTGTATTATCTAAAACTATGTACAATCTGTACACAATATTTTGGCTCCGTAATTTTTATAATATATACATTACAAGAATTTAAACCAAATTTTTTTTTATCATACATCTTGTTAATAAAGACAAGTTTCATTGTATTCACAAGATTTTCCAGATAAAATGTTGACAGTATCATATGCAATGATGTCCATCAGTCATTAAAAAAAACAAAGTTAATCAAGTCTGTAAAACAGAGGAAATTAAAGGTAAAAAATATGGATTATGAAGAGTTTTGCAAGTATAAAAAAAAATCAAAAGTAATAAAGTGAAGTATGCCACACTCATTGGGTGATTTCAAAGTGAGATAAAACAAAGACAGAAATTCTGATTGGGTGATTTTACAAATAAATTTTAAAAGAGATGCTGATTGGCTGTTGGCCAGAGGTTAGAAATACACTGATTGGGTGATTTCACTCTGGACAAACTGTGCTAACATCAAGACTTACTCTGGCTCCAGCTCAATGGGAGGTTCTGGTGAGTCACTGTTTGACACACAAAAAGTAATGAAGCATTATTTTCAATTTATACATGCAAGCACCAACTACTATTAATCCTATGTCTACAGTCCCTTTGTTTCTTTTCAAGCAATAAGCAAAACAATCTTCCTGTTCTTATTCATGTTATTGGTATTACTGAATTGTTAATTTTTTGCTATCAGTAAAAGCTTTACAACAAAATATAATTTTATTTTTGTTCTATCAATCATGTCTATGGATCATGCAAAAAATTGATATCTTTAATGTTATATGACAAAATATTTTTTGCACAAAACTCATATACATATGCATTCTTCTGCTGTATGCTCTGCTTATGTGGTCACAAAGTACTCTGTAAAGTTTTACAACACTCTGGAATATATATTTTACATGAATTCTATACAACCAACATAAATATAATTAACAACACACAGTTGCACTGATGCAGATTTATCCACTACATGTATAACTATAAGCTTACATGATTACAGCACCGTATAATATATGTTTGCTCTCAAGCAACATCAATGAAGTGAATTGTTAGTGCTCACCGCAAAATCCAAAAAGTAGAAAGATTTGATTGGTTTGCTCCCTTTCTTAGTGAACTACAATTAATACATTACAATGATATCTGGGAAATTCAGAATTTTTGTCAAGATAACCCTGCAATTTGAATAATACACAACCAAACTGAAAATAGTAAAATTTCCCAGAGATCTTGTGTACTGATTTAATTAGTATTGAGTAAAACAATCAAGTTTTTATATATAACATGTACATAAGAGTTGAACTATATTTATACTTGTCACTCAGTACCACCAAATATGGAATATGCATGTGCACCAAACATTTGAGTGATTGAAGGCCAAAGCTGTGAGGTGTGTGCTGATTTGACCTTATATAGCTGCAATAAACTGTCAATTTGATAAAGCCAAACATAATAATCCATTGATCAATAAACAAAGACCTTGAAGCAGTCCCAATGTTATACTGAGAATTCAGAATCACCTGAAAAGGCCATAGGTAAAATTGGGTCGGAATCTGACAGTGGTACCTAGGCCAAGCCAGAGGTCAAGGGCATGCCTGGCCTTGATTCCTCCACTGATAGAAGAAATATAAGACAATGTCATTTTACAAAAAAAAAAAATAAACCAAAAAACAAACAAAAAAACACCATTTCTCTGGGTTATTCAGTTCCCTTCACAATACATGTATATTATGATTCAAAATGTCTAAATTAAAATCATAAAACTTATTTCTAACTGTATGCGACATGACAAAAAACTGACTTGTGTGTTATCTACAATTTGCTTCCTTTTTTCATAACTAGTAGCCACTGCTTTCACACAAATCGATACTTTCAATAATGTATCATGATCACTTCTAGCCCTCAAAAATTCAATACAGAACTGGTTGCATATTGCATGTGCACCTATAGATTATCTGCTTGGCAAATACTGCACCTACCATCAAATTCAAGTTTTACAAATACTTTAACCTTTAAGCTATCATAAATATTGACTAACTGTTTAAAACCATTTGGCGTACATGTACAAAAAGTATAGATATTTTTGTTTATGGCTGCCTCTATTAACTATTTTCCTATCTGATTAATTGATACTGTATCAAGATTACATATATCTCCATTCTGGTATGATTCCAGTTAAAAGACATTGTAAATTCCAAGTATTCAGGATATTGAGAATTCTGAGGATTCAAATGAAATTTTAAAAGGTTCTTCAAAGTACAACAAAAGATTTAGAAAGTCACTCACTCTGTTCCACCCTTAACTATTATTGTTAGAAATATATATTTGAAAAAAATGAAATCTTCCAAGGTTGTTGAAGTTAGGGTTATAAAAAGTTGATTTAAGTTAATGGGTACAGATAAGAAATGTTAGAGTGATACAGATATCAAAGGGAGGTAAGTCACACGGGAAAATTCAAACTTACGGCTCTTTTATGTCATTCACAATTGAATTAACTAGATCTTCCTGGGCTAAGCTGTTGCAAAATAAGCATGAAACTTAAAATAATTAATTTCACCTAAGTAATCAGTAACTCTCAACATTCTTTTTCAATATCAATTTATATTCAGTGTCTTATCAAGTTTTATTTTTTGTATTGCAACTGTGTGAAAAAAAGCAACATACAACACTATGTAGATTTTTTTTATATAAAATAACTTAGCTATAATAGCTCTCTCTGTTGAAAACCAATTTTTTACTTTGGAGTTTAAAATTTATTTACTGAAAATTGAATAAATGCATCATGCAGTGTTTAATTCATATCTTTATCCCTTTATAGAGCCATGTTAATGCAAATTTTAAAATAATACTTACACCTCCTTCATCATAAAATAAATACTCAAAAATATACAAAGTATTGATTAAACCATCACACTCTGATCTTTTCTAAACAAAACCAAATGGAATATACACACAGATTGAGAAATAGCCATTGGAGAAATAGAGAGAGTTTTGCTTGGAAACACATAGGATTTACATCCATTAATTTAATGTATAGGGGGTCACAACAAAAACAATTACCTAAGTTTACAAAGAAATCAATTTTCTACCTGACTGATTTATCCTTAGGTAATTCTGACTTTCTTTCAGAAGTTGAAGATTTTAAAGAACCTTATCCATTACAAATTTACAAGGTGTTTCTAATTTGAGCTTTAGTAACAAAACTTTTTTTTATCCTCACGAATAAAAAAAAATATCATGGAAAGAATTAAGAGTATTTTTTTTCCCTCCATTTGCATGGTCTATTTCCACAGTGGTTTCTTGTTATAGTATTGATTAAAGCATTGTTTATTTTTTCCTTTAAATATTTCAAAGATCTGTTATGATCACATTTCATTAAAATGCCATTCATCATGTAATTAGTCAATATACACAATTAACAAAGCCCCTCTATTCTTTCAAGCAGATAAAAGGGATCAAAAGACACCCTCTAAAAAAAAATCTAACCCAGCAATAAAGAACTAAACTACTGAGAGCCAAATACATTTATATCTACAATAATCTAAGGATAAACATTTTTTTAAAGTCAAACAGGTGTGTATATAACAAATAAGTAATGAATGGATTAACACAGAGTTGTTCCAAAATTTCACTGTAAAGATAAGGCCAAGCAAAAAAATATGTGTGGTTCCGGTTACACTTCCAAAAGAATTAGGGTAGGTAGGTAGGGATTTTTTTTTTTTTTTTTTTTTTTTTTTAACAAAATGATTTTCTTAATTTTTCTAAATTATACCTATCACTGCTTTGCAAATGGCATTTAGATGTGATGTTATAATATACTAGTCAATATTGGTAGGAGACACCTACATGCTAGCTTGCTTTGGACTTAATACTATTAAATACTTGCACTATGTTTTGCAAGGAGGCCGTCATTGCTGAAACTAAAACTTAAACCGGAGCCATTGATGGAAATTGGGGAAAATTCCGGAAAAAATATGAAAATTGCCAAAAAAAGTTTAGGGTCGGGGGGTATAAAATAGGGAAGGTCGGGTAACCGGAACCACACATATTTTTTTATTTGGCCTAATATGTGACATTGGTATTTTGAAAGGTGTGTCCAACTCTCCTTTCCTAAATGTATCTAATATGCATTATATTGCTATATAAATATTGCTATAAGCATATCATTCATTATATATATTTGGAATTCTTGGTTTGATTATCCCCTCTCCTATCCCTAAATACTGTACAGTCACGTGACTGGCACACTTAATTTATTTATAAGTCTGGGTATTGCAATTAAACAACACATTAGAACAAAATCTAATAAAAATTCCTTTCCAGATTATTAACAAACACTGAATGTACAAGCAAAAGTAGTTCAGAATAATATTTATGAATTTTACCTGGACTTTCTGGAATTTTTAGGTCTATATTGAAATGACAGCATCAACAAAATCAATAATTTTCAAACTAATGAAGAAGCAGTTCATTCAACAGGCCTATAAACAAATGTAATAAAGATTTGCCTAAGACTCAATTAAGTAGGTTTTTGAAAACTTATAAAGGTTGTACCTTGCATTGCTGTGTTTGCGCCATCTGGTGAGCAGGTGCCCTTGTTGTCTGTAGTAACTGTATTCGGAACTCTCAGATTTGTCCTCCTCATCTCGGTGATGGAGCTCCTTCTGCCTGACAATGTCACAGAACTTCGGGCGGATACCCCTACTTAACTGTGTGAAGAAAACATTAACATCGCTTCTGAAATGTTCATGCAATATTTTAATTACCTTTAAGGACATACGCAACGTAGTTTGAACTTTATTGACTCTTTCCCTGGAGTTGAAGAGTTCCAATACTTAAAGGAATTGTATGCTACATTTTTATATCTATATATGCTGTTGTACACTTCTTCCAAAACAAGTTTTGATAAACAAAACATGTAGAATATATGTTTAGTAATTTTTGTGTATTTTTCTTTGAATTATACAAGAATTTTCATCAATTGATATCTTTTCAAAACCCCTGGTAATGCATGCTGATTTTTTGTGGACGAACATCTGATGGCACTATAATCTTAAATTAAGAATATCCTGAAAAATTATCAGTAAGTAAGGTACGTTGCGTATGTCCTTAAGGTATACCTTATCAGGATTTTAACGCATTTACTAATTGCACATCAGAAAGTGTTCACTTCAATGTAATAAATAAATTTTAAAATATATTTTTAATTTATAATAAACGTGATTAGTATGATGTGGAATGTAAAGAGCAGGTTTATTTAGGGCCTTTTTTTGGCCCTGTGAAATTCGGAAAAATCAAAGCTGCTTAGTTTTAGTTGACAATGCATTAAATATCACTTGGACCCTTGGTGAATGCATATCTATTGAAAAGGACGTAATTTTCTCGCAAGTCAATGCATTATGACTTCATGAATTGCATTATTTTTCAATATTCTGAATATTTCTTCAAAATGGACAAAAAATGAAGCTGTTTTTTTTTCAATATTTGTATACAGCACTACCTCTGATCCAAAATGTGCAATTTTATGATGAACGAACTGCTTCTGAGAATTATAAAACATATTTTATTTTTTTGGATCAAGGGGTGTGCTCATATTTTTTAAAATTCTTTGCTGAAGGAACTCAAATACACCTGTTTTCTGCAAAATTAGAATATTGCAATGTGACTCAGTCCGTTTTTTAGTATCTGGACTCTTTGAGGAAACTCTGTTCTAGGAAATCAAAGCACTAAGTCTCTTCTTAATATTGATATTGAAAATGGGACATAGGGCGTTAGTCAATAAATTAGAACATCTACAGGGCCATCTTATGCAGAAAGTGAACCTAGCTCTTTTTGCAAATTAGTATACTCACATAATTTGCCCTAGAGTAGGTCAGTAGCTCTTTTCTCTACAAGAAAATGAAATAAAGATTTTTTTACATAAAACATTGTATCTTTACACAAAAAATTACTTAAATTATTTCACAACAAACAACTAGAAGATATCTGTATCAGCCTACTGATCTTTAGTGACTTCATCTGAAGTTTACTGCATCATTGTCATACAAGTTCTACAAGACTGGTAAAAACAGGTCTTAGGAAACACTGGTTATCAAAGATTGGAAGAATACTGGTTATTATGGTAAGACGCTGGGTGCCCTTGTATGTATTCATGGTACAACAATGTATAGCAGAAATATCTTCTGTAAAAAGGCTTAAAAAACTTAAAATCTACATGAGGCTTGATAAAACCATAAAGTATTTTTTTTTAAGTTTAGAGGAAAAACAGTTGATTACTGCAGCTACGCAACTATCAATATTCTTGACAAAAATCTATGGATCTATCAAATACATCGCTGATTTATGAAGACCGATTACTGCCATATTATCAGATTATTCCCTTTATACGTGAATAGATACACACAAGGTTCCAGTCATTTATTGTGTTTTATGACTATTCATTTGTATCTTTTTATCACTGGTACTTATCTGGGCAGAAAATTACGACTTCACCACCCACTGTTTACGATATTAGAATTTTGGCAGAAGACACGAGCCTCTTCTTGTTTGATTTGTTTATTTCCAAACAGAATTATTGACACTTATCTTATTCTTCTTTGTTTGTAATCAGTTTGCTATAATATTCTTTTGTGAAATAATCTTCATGACTTGCATATTTAGTTGTAAACATGCCACAATATATCGTGTAAATACAAATAGATTTAATTCATTGATTAATAAGTAGAACTTGCCAGCAAATCTCCTTGGTTAGTATTACAATTATAATCTATATAACCTTTGCTATTCAAAGTTTCCCATATCTAATACATGATAATACGTATTTAAGGATGAGGTACAGTTAAAATTAAAATAAAAAAGTTGAAAGGTAATTTGGACTGAACTTAGCATTTATTTAAGGATAATCGAAAATTCGAAGTTGAATCCACAAAATTTTAACATTTTGCGTGTATGTCGAATGTCTTGTCATAATCAGATTGCTCGAGAAGGTTGCTTAGAATGCCCACCGTCAATGACTAAGCTTCGGCATTTCAGATTTTGAAATATTATGAAGCAGTTTTAAAAGATATCTAAGAGGTCAATGTTACCTACCGTTAAGGGAGAGGATCGAGGACGATGATAATTAATATATCGTTGGGGCTGATTCGTCGATTTGGGGTCATTGTGATAAAACGATAATCGGGACGTGTTCGATAGCGCTGAGACCGGGCGTGAGTACGATTCGCAAGGGCGTTCATCACAAGCTGTTTGAGGCCTGTCGTATATTAAGTGTCCATGCATATGACTATATCCGTAACATCGGGAATGACGATCAAAGTATCGAAAGTCTGGATCTGGGCTTGCCGGATGTAAATTTATATTTTTGCTCTCTTTCATATGCTCGTATAGTTTATTGACGAGTGTAAAACCCGTGCGCATCTCGTTGAATTTCTTCGAACTGAGTCTGCTTGAACCCGCACTTCCCACCCGGTTTGAGGAGGAACTGGATGGTCTTGGTAGCATGGGCGATGATGACCTTGACGCTGATATAGCCTTCTGGGAGTAAGGGCTGACATATTCTGCCCTCGGGGGAGCAGTCCCAGGTCTCTGAATAACAACATTCTTTCTCGAATGGGTAGCACTCCTAACTCTTTTCTGACCCTGGAATGGTTCTGGAGTAACTATTCTTAATTCTGCAAAGGTATCTGTCTTTTCTTCCGGCAATAGGACAAAACTATCAGATTCACAAGGGCGGATATCGTCATCTGTTTTTGCATCGTCCGCAAAGAGCTTATGTTTGTACCCCTCCGCTACCCAAGCCATTAACCGCTCATCATTCCCAAACACCATGATGACAACGAAATTAAAGAAACACTCCTTTAGAAAATCACAAAATCAGATGAAATTTCATCAATATATTTTATCCATTGCTATCACATAATGAGTGAAAAATACGCCATAACGTTTGCTACAGCTTGCATCTTTTTCCTTTTTAAAAATGGCACTGGAATCTAAAAACACACAATACCAACAATGATAATTACTACGCGCGCCACAATCAATAAATCAGGACTAGTCACAAAGGCACTGCAATTTAAAGGGAATATATCTAATTATTCTACTCAAAGGTCTATCAAAATATATTCCACTCAATACACTAGACTGTGGAAATTGTTCATGCCTCTTCACATCCTTGCGACACAACAACGTCGAGAGAGTACAAACAAGGATACACCGCACGAACTAATAGCCGCCATAAAATTATTCCTCGCTAACTTTCATGGGTGTTTGTGTCCAAATTGGCATTGCAACCTTTCCAAATAAAAGTCCTTGTAAATGAATGGCACAGTCCTTTATAATAGTCTTTAAATATCAAAAGGCTTTCAATATCAATTTCTAATCTCTTTCACCTCGCTGGATATGTTTTTAATAATATAAAATTTCAGATCTACACATGTTCATTCGGTTGATAAACTTTTTCTATCAACTCATGCCTTAAGTCCTTTAAACCATTTCTTCTAATCCTAATCAATTATTGATACCCTTGACGCAATGCAAAAACTGAGCACATGTCGCAGTTTTCCTCGACCTCATCTGTTTGTACCAAGGATCCCAAATCTTGTACATGTGTCTTATTAAAAATATTTGTTCAAAAAAGATAAAGATTCTATTGTTCCGTGTGAATGTGAAAAAATATATAAAAGGTATCTATATAGCTGTCGTCCAACAGATATAGTTATTTCCTATGTAAAGGATTTTAGAAAGGGCGAAGGAAACAATCCCTTTCAGAAGTATAACCTATACTGGATAAACTAGGCCCAATATTGTTTGTTATTCAGAGTAACCTGTCATAAGGGTGTAGTATTAACTCCTACACAGGAATTACCTTTCATTTAAAGCACTTCTGAGTAACTTAATGTGTGAAGCTGAGTAAACTTAGGCACAATATTATGTTATGAGCAATAACAAAGTTATTCAGTGTACAAATTGAACAGGTACAGTTATCCTTAAATAACTATGCGTAGTGCACTCTGAAAGTACTGTTCTATCAATGTTAACATGTCTCAATTTCAATTAAACTGCATGTTGTTTATTTTTTTTCCCCGGAAAGGAAGAACAACATTTTTTAGACATTTCCCCTACGATCTTGACGAATGTCTATAAACATTTATAGTACTTTTTTCAAGAACTTGTCCACCAGGAGTTACATCTTTTACGACCTCTCAAGAGTGGAGGGATAAACTTCTATAATTCAATCATCTGAATCAAGTTTGTGTGGGATGTTTTTAATTAGTGGTGGTGGTGGTGTCAATGCTATTAATTGTATTATGAAGTATCTTCGAAAACCCTTCAAAAAATTACATGGATGACGAGAATGTCCTCACAATCAAATCAAATTTGTCCGCATCATTGCCTTTTGGACCAGTGAAGATAAATGACTTTCGAATTCACAAAGGAAGTTATATGGCTTGATAAAATTAACTTGTGATACCCAGGTGACTGTTAATGCCAATGGACCTCTTATAAATCTTAGAGCTACCATTTACACTAAATGCCCTTTCTAGAAACACATGTACACAACCACACACCAAAGGCGGATCCAGGGCCGGCGCGCCGGGCGCACGCCCCCCCCCCCTCCCCCCCCCTTTTGAATTTTTTGTATGTAGAACTTTTATGTCCATTATCCAAAATCAAGGGAAAAAAATCTCTTATTTGTAAGAATTCGTCAGCTTCCGGGGGCTTCCCTGGACCCACACCAGGGCTTTGCCCTAGACCTACTGGGGGCTTCAATAAAGACCCCAGACCCCCCCCCCCCCGGCCTTCTACTGCCTCCCCCCTTTGTGAAATTCCTGGATCCGCCACTGCACACTAATTGATTTGAACCACTGACCCGGGGTCGACTCTCTAGACCTTAAGATCACTGAGCCAAGAGATCAACAATTAATCGAGTGGCGAATTTATATGACCCTCCCCCCTGCCCAAATTTTTGGGCTGTAAATATTTGTAATGTTTTGATAAAATAATGCACACTGAAGGAATTTTTTTTTTACATCTTAATATTATTAATACAATCCTTCATATTTTGATCCTCCAATGGTTTCCAACAACATTGGTTTTTTTTTTTTATTATTTCTGCGGAATTACATTAAAATGGTATTTACTAATCATTCTTATTGAAGACCGCATTGACATAATGACTAATTGGACATTCCGTAATGGATCCGAGGAGGGGGGGGGGGCTTTAGAATTGTCAGAGACTGAGATAACTTTATATAGTAAAATAAGCAAAAAATAACCTTGTATACCTAGAGTCCTCTCAAAAAAAGGACTTTTCAAAAAAAAAAAAATCTGATGATTTTTTTGGGGGGAAGGGGGCTATGGACCCTCCCCGGGGGAATTCTGGATCCGCCCTTGAAGCTATTTATAAATTCTCATAACCCTACATAAAGAAAAAAACATTTAAGATTCGACTCGTCGCAAGAAGTTTTTACCTCAAAAACATCCTCTACACCCAGGATTAAAAATACTGTTATTTTACCTACATTACAATCTGTCAAAGAAATACAATGATATCATCGATAAAATGGACCTTCGCGATAGGATCTGAAGGCAGACAGGCATTGCAACAATATAGGGCAGGTGTTGCTAAGCAGGCACGTGCTTTATAGAGCTCTGGTGCTCAAGAATTCTAGACCCCAAATTCTATCGTGTTTGACTTGTCATTTAAATCACCACCCCAACATTGAAACAATGGGTGGTATATATTTTGTTCCGTTCCTTTATCACTTCTAGACCTTGTGTGGTAATGACAATGGAGTTTTATGGTTCAGTTAAAATACCCTTGTCTACGATCAAGCTGTATGCAATGTTTGAATTGAGATACATAAAGTTTATTCCAAATATTTACAGAAAAGTCATGCTGCACAACAAATTTACTTATGTGCACTTCTTTCTTTTCCTTTTCCTTTTAAATATTTTTTGCTCTCCAGCAGATGGAGCTTTCCCATTGCGACACAATAGAACCTAGAATTTTGCCACTCTCTACCATCGGCTCATACATTCACTGTGTCTGAGAGAGAAACGAACGACAACTCTGCATAGGAGATTGGAATTTTGCATAATTAACTTAATGAGTAACGCCTTAGATATACATGACACCGTCGTTATGGTTTTATTTTCTATCATTTTACGCTGCTAATTTACGACTTCTTTCAAAAATCATTTCAAGGTGACTGTTTTTCCCTACAAATCTCTCTCTCTCTCTCTTCCTCTCTCTAGATGTCCAAACTATAAAAATAAAATACTAGTTAAAAAAAGTAGGGAATTAATGAATCACTTTTCCTCATATCCAAGTCGTTTTCCTTTTCCCGAATATTGACAATAATCCTTTTAGCATCAGTTAAACACACCTGAGTTCTTTCCCTTTGACCATGTACATGTATGTAGTTTTCCAGCCAGGTAGAGAAAATTATATCTCCGGTGAAGGTGAAAAATTAAATGAAAATTCAGCGAACAATTGAACCATTTACCTAGATTAACGTTATCAAAATAAATATCTGCCATTAACTTTCCCTTTAATTTCCAGAATAAAGGAGGGATATTTTGTTTAATTGAAAGCAATTCTCTCCTTAAAGAACAATATTGACTTACAATCCGAGGAAAGTCATGAAGTTGCATTCTAAAAACTTGGTTTTTAAAACACTTATTAAGAAAAGTAAAGTTACGGAAAAACTGGAATCACTAGTGTTATATAACATAAACTCAATATATCATACCGGTATCGAGCCAAATCCCGGGGACCCCGACCATGGACTGAAGGGGCATAAATCTTTATTTATTTATATTTTATTTATTTAATCTATTGCTCGTTACAATCATATAAACAGTTCGATGCATTTGCAATGTATATGCAGTTGATGATGCAGAATACATTTATGAATCGATTAATTCGCATTCAAGGAGTCGATGAATTGGAATAGCTTTAGTAATATCTTCTGAGCAGTCGAGAAATTTGCACATAAATCGTTTTATATTCTTTTGTGTGTGTGTGTGGGGGGGGGGGGGGGGGGTATGTGTGTCCCCGATAAATTGGCAAAGTGTTTATAGAGGTGCTTCATTTGTTCGTCTTAATTTTCATTTGATGTTGATGTCTCGAAAGTTTTCAGACATCAGCAAACCTATGCAAGCACTTTGTAGCTCACCTGAGCCGAAGGCTCAAGTGAGCTTTTCTGATCGAAATTTTTCCGTTGTCTGTCGTCGTTGTCGTTGTAAACTTTTCACAATTTCATTTTCTTCTCCAGAACTACTAGGCCAATTTTAACCAAACTTGGCACAGAGTATCCTTAGCTAAAGGGGATTCAAGCTTGTTCAAAGGATGGGCCACACCCTCCTCCAAGGGGAGATAATTACGAAATAGCGAAAAATTGATTGCATCATTGAAAAATCTTCTTCTCAAGAACCAATTGGCCAGAAAAGATGAAACTCACGTGGAATCATTGTCAGGTAGTGTAAATTCAAGTTTGTTCAAATCATGACCCCTGGGGTAGGGTGGGGCCACAATGGACGATCAAAGTTTTACATAGGAATATATAGGAAAATCTTAAAAAATCTTCTCAAGAACAGCAAAGCAATGATTGGTAATATTTATGTGAAAGCATCCTCAGATGGTGTAAATTCAAGTGTGTTCAAATCCTGACCCCCAGGGGTTAGGGTGGAGCCACAATGGACGATCAAAGTTTAACATAGGAGTATATAGGAAAAATCTTCAAAAATCTTCTTCTCAAGAACAACAAAGCCATGATTGATCATATTTATATGGGAGCATCCTCAGGTGATGTAGATTCAAGTTTGTTCAAATCAT